GCAAAGATGGTGAATGGAATGTAGTGTGTGCAATGTAGTTCGACACAATTAACAAGTAAAGTAAATCAACTACAATAAAGTAAGGCATACAGAGATTTATCGTGATCTGAACAAACCCAAGTCTACATACTCTCCTTAGAAAACCTAATAAGAATTTCCACTAAATCAACTGGATTTCAAGGTTCCAACAAAACCTTATCATAATTGGATTTCCAAGTGTCAACAAGACTTTTCATAGTTGGACTTACAAGTGCCAACAGGACATGAATAGTTGAGCTTCCGAGTGTCAACCAAACCTGAATAGTTAGGTTACGAGTGCTAACCAGACCTTTAATGGTGTTCAAACTTGAACACCCTATTATAACAAGATGATAAACAATGAAGCACAAGTAATACAAATGTCTCTTTTGAACACCCTATTATAACAAGATGATAAACAATTAAGCACAAGTAATACAAATGTGTCTTCATAGGCTAATAAACCTAAAACAAACAAAAATATTCAAATGCAAGAGTATGCACAAATGCTATAGGCTCAGCCACTTGAAGAGATTTGGGAAATATCAATGAGAAACAAATAAGCCCAAAAACTATACAATCTTTTCTCACTTGTATGAACTTGTAAGTATGGTGGCAAGGCTAAAGGGAGTGGTCTCCATAAAGGTAGGCCTCTGTTTTAAGGGGAACTTTAGCAGAGTTGGGTAAAAAGAATAGTTAGAGAGAATTGTTGATTGTACTTTATCCCCCCTTTTGTCTCTATTCGGGTAGAAAGAGAGCACTACTAAGGTTACACCACATGTCTAACGAAATCCTCTGAGGACAGAGTTTCCTTTCATCGGAGGATTCTCTTTTAGCACTTCTATACTACTTACTATCGTAGGTTCCTTGAGGTCACGTGCCATGGGCGAGGCCCAAGTTTGATTGCTATGTCTGGCTATTCTCCTTGTCATTTTCAAGACGCTTCGTCATAACTGCTACAAGAATTAAGCGACGTTATGTACTTATCATAGGTTCAAGGTGGCTCTTAAAGTTTATTGCAAGCTTGGGACAATTCTTTGAGTTCATCATGTGCTTGGGATGTTTTTTTTTTTTGTTTTTTGAGCTTGGGATGGTTTTTTGTTTCAATACTTTTATCTTGATTACAACGGAGGAGAACTCCATGCACTTACAATTAGCCCCTTGCTTATTGGTAAGGGTATTCTTGATAGAAAGCATTTTATCAAGAGTTAGGTAGGCACATCAGGCTTCAATTTTGATTCCCCCCTTTTTTGTGTCTTGGTAAAATACTTCCTATCGGGAAACATTACCTCTTAGTCGAGGGGGGAATGCGATTGCATTGTATAGTTCTCTTACCGGCCATGATCTGTGCAACCCCTCTTTATATGTGATGCTAGTGGGTGTGACGCACTAGGTTCAAATTTAGGCAGTGTCTAGTGTTAGACAACGTATACCCTTAGCTCCAATCAAATTGATGTATAGATACATTTATTGTAAATGAATAAAAGTACATTATTGTTTCATGTTGATATTGGTATGTTTCTACGAAATTGTCCCTTAAACTGGACACTTATGAGAATCGTGTTATCTTAGAATGTTCTCAGCCGTTGGATAGACTTAGAGAGTTTATCTTGCCAATGATGACATTGATGTTCTACCAAAGAAGTTGGGGCAGCTTGTCTCACCTGTTAGGGTTAGACCCAAAGCACATGCAGTGTGTGTTTGGTTGAAACAATAAACCTGGACCATTTTCCAATTATGCCCTAGACCTTGGAAATTGATGGGAAAATTGGAAAATTAAACATAACCCCTAGACTTGATTATGGTACTACACTAGGTGTTGGATTAGACTATCTTTGATATGCCAATCAGTGAGATCCATTGAGGGCAAAAACCTAGGTATGTTGGGGCAATCATAGAATTAACTTAAGTGGGTGATCATAGTGATAGGATCGGCCCCTTTGTCGGACAAAGTGAATGGTAACACCCTCTCTGATGGAAACTTCAACTTTCGACAGTGGATTTCAACTATGTTTGAGATTTGGTTTATATATATGTTATGTTTTTGTGAAAAAAGTTTGCAAAAGGTTTTAATTCCCAGGATCCATCCGATTAGAGAATGTGACACTGCACCTTGCAGCCAGGGGAGAGGTCCTTCCCTGTCAGGCAGTGTTTGATCATTATGGGCCGAGAGGAAGTGTAAGAGACCATTATAGGGCTGATTACCTAATGAGCTTTATCTTATTTAAGTCCATTATCCTTGGGTCTTCATACGATGTTTGAATTCAATGATCATTTAAGTATAAATGTTAGGCCCATTTTGAGCCCATACTGATGTGTTTAGGGGTTCACTGCGTTTAACAGTGAATTTGGCCAAGCTTTTTCACAGAGGCTAGGCCGAACCCATGTAGACTTATGTGAGGTCATTATGGGGTCCTACACCATACAAATCAGGCCTAAGTTGGCCATGCAACATCCTTGGGTCATGAGCCTTATAGTTGATGGGCCTAAGGCCCATAATTAATATGATTAATTAAGATGTCACATTACAGCTTAAGTTGTCATGTGACATGGGGCGAATCAGGGTTTGGAATTGGGTATGGAGCACCTATCATCTTAAGAAGATAAGGCTTATCACTTAAAAGAGTCTAGATCCAAATTAGATTTGGATAATCTCCCAATTTTTAGGAGAAGTGCTCTATAAAGAGATAAAAGAAGAATAGGGCAAACTAGAGTAGAACACCTCTCTATTTTGTTCTCTCTTCTTCCTTTTGTCTCCCGAGAAACCATAGTTCAACCATAGCTATTTTGGGACTGATAGAGATCCGTTTTCTTCTGATTTTTGCAAGAAAAATCCAAAGGAATTTCGTGCTCACCTTCCCCAGTTCGATCCAAACAAATGGATTGCAATTTTGTTGAAAACTGTGCTGTTGAACCGGCTTTAGGAATACACTGCGCCATCTTCAGTGGAGAATGGCTTTGGGACTGATTTGGGCGTGAACTTCCACCTTGGGATCTTCGTTTGTGGTATCCGTATCAGGTGTACATCTCCCTCTTTGTTTGGTTTCAAATCTGGTCATGTTCCGTGCCAGACTAATCCTAGAAAAATGCAATTTTTCGAAACATAGGGAATTCGATTCCTGGAAGGATTAGGAAATTGTTAAAATTTCGCCCAGCCATCTAGCATGGTTTGGCCATCCATATGATGGATCCGAACCCTTCCTCCAATGTTATCAGAGCACTAGGTTCAGCCCTTAGACTAAACCAAATTAGATTTGAACCTAAACTCAAATTGGCAAGAACTAATCTAACTAATTTGAGCAGTTAGTAGTTTTTCTAAGAAATTGGTTCTCAGAATGGGCAAATGATCTGAAATTTCAGTGATTATATTCTAATATACTAGAGAAGTGTTCTATTGTGAATTCTTGAATTCTTGGGCTGAAAGTGTGGTGGAGATCGAAATCTTGATAGTGCCAAGTTTTGTGTACTCAAGATCCATTATTTTAATTATCTGGTCTGTAATTAATTTTTTTTCTTTTCTAGAAAAGTTGTATTGGGTGTTTTCTGATGTAAGCAATAGAAATTAGGGTTTTTTCTATTTTTTTGCATCGGAGAAATCACTTGAACGTGCGGACAAGATAGAGCTTGCAGATGGAGAACAATTTGCGAATTGTAGTTTTTTTTTTTTTTTTTTTTGCAGGGTTGCAGTTTTGCTCGGATTGGATTCAAACCATCACACTATCAGCCCTAGCTTTTTTATTTCGGTTTATTTGTTGTTTGATTGTTGTTTTGATTGTGAATCTTGACTGAGAATTTCAGATCATTAATTATGATAATTGTTACATGTTTTGGACACTAAACCCTAGGCCGATTTTACATAGTTTTGGTCTAATCTAGTTGGGCTGAACCTATGGTTCTTTGGGATAACAAGGGTTTGATGGCCCATTGCATTAACCAATTCGGCCCTCACTTGAAAACCCCTTTTATGTTAGATTAAATCAAGACTAGCCATTTCAGCATGAACTGTTATATGGGCCGAATTGGTTTTTGCAAATTAGGAGAAGTTCTCTATAAAGAGATAAAAGAAGAGGGCAAACTAGAGTAGAACACTTCTCTATTTTGTTCTATCTTCTTCCTTTCGTCTCCCAAGAAACCCTAGTTCAACCATAGCTATTTTGAGACTGATAGATATCAGTTTTCTTCTGATTTTTGCAAGAAAAATCCAGAGGAATTTCGTGTTCACCTTCCCCAGTTTGACCCAAATAGTCAGATTGCAATTTTGCTGAAAAATGTATTGCGGAACCGGCTTCAAGAATACATTGTGCCATCTTCAATGGAGACTGGTTTTAAGATTAATCCAAGCGTGAACTCCTTGGGATCAGCGTTTGTGATATCTGTATCAACTATACATCTCCCTCTTTGATTGGTTTCAAATTTAATTCGATTCAGTGCAAGACCAATTCTGAAAAATATAATTTTTCAAAACACACGGAATTCAATTCCCAAAAAGATTAGGGAATTTTTTAAATTTCTCAGCCATCTAACATAGTTCAGCTATCTATATGATGGATCCTAACCCTTAAGGTTTTGGGCTACTTGTTTTTTACGTCATTGGCAGTGTGAGAGTTTTTTCGCAGGTGTATTGGGTTATGTGTATGATGGGTTAGTTTGACATGATTACGGAGGTGTGGCAGTTTCATTTGAATCAATTTTGTAATTGTCCCGCTTGACCTTTTGCGCGAAGAGCCGTCGTAAGAAGCAATATATGAGGTTAAGGTTTGGAGACTAGTGGTAATTACACCACCGTGGTCCGTGCCTATCCTTTTCAGGGTCGATCACGGACGGCGGCTAGAGCAGGTTGATGACACGATAGTTCTCTACCAGCTTGTTCATAACTTCTCTTGTCGCAAGCAAACACTGGTGGAGGTAGCGGTTTCTATTCAAACAAAAAAAAACTCCAATTACGAACCATGCACCACTTGTATTTTCGGCAATGTCAACAATTAAAGACCAAGGTGGTGTTATCCTGTTGGGAGTCGCATAAATAAAAGTACAAAACCATGACTTTACACAACAACCCCTGCCGCCCATTAATCAACAAACCTTGAACGGCTACTATTCCTCGGGATAAAAATACTACCACGTTATGCACGGACAACAAAAATGATAAATTTTAATTAGAATAGCTAACAGGAAAATTCTCAATTAAGTTATGCTCGCCAATTTACAGATTACTATCAGCGAACATCTTCTGATAATAATTATTGCCTTAGTGAACATTGAAGCCAACAAAAAGCTGAGACATGGGTTTAAAATTTAAGGTGCACACCCATCCTGCAATTCTCCAGGTAACTCTTGCAGACAGAACGCTGAGCCCAATTTCCCAATTAATCTTGTAGCTTAAATTTGAGGACCTGATCAGCTTGGGATGAATTACGCGGAACTAATGCACCAGAAATTCTGACCAACTGAAGGATGTTCACAAGTTACGTTGAGGAATCACAATTCCGACTTAGATTCCATGTCTTCATCTGACCTTACATCAACTGAATTACCTGTTTGACCAGGAGGTATGGACTCCTGTTTCTTATTCTCACCTAAAAGTCCTGCAGTGAATCGTCTTGCCTCTGAGTCAATATCTGTCCACTCGGAAATTATTCTTTTAGCACCCTAAGAGGAAAGGAGAAAAAGAAAAATGATTAGAGAAAGCGATGATGATTCTGGGAATCAAAGGAAAGGGGATTCATCTTGAAGTCTCCAGAAATTTAAGCTACCTGAAGTTTGGGTTCCTTTGTCATGGGATTATTACAGAGATCAATTGTCTTTGCCTTGGATTTTGTGGCATTCCCACACCATGACTCACACCAAAGCCATTCTTGTGGAAGAGAAAATATGGGTACTGTGTGTTGGGCATAGTTGGGAAGATCCTGCAATATAAAATATGATTTTCAATATTTAATGCATATATTGTGAATAAAACCTTGCAAATTAAATCTGAAAGGGATTGAAGAAATACAATGTAAGAAACCCAAAGTTGATTCGAAGCATGTAGGAGGAAAACTAAAAATTGAAAAGGAAATGGGAACAGAAAAGAAGTTATCCTATTGAAAAGCTAAACAGGGAAAATTATGATTTCAAATGTATGTATATTTCCTAATATTTCCATGACATTTCCATTTCCATGAGTAATGACATGAAATATTACTAGAATCAACCTAGTCCCCAGTGAAAACAACCTGCATTATGCTTGCCTAATGATTGTCTGATGGTTTGGAACAAAATAATAATTTAAAAGCATGTACGTATGTTTCTTTTTCATTTCAAAAATATCATCTCATATTTTCATAATTTTTCCACCACGACTAATTTTTGCAATATTTCCATATGACATTTCCAACATTTCTGTTATATTTCTTATATTTGGATCCACTAACACACATTTTAAACCATGTTGCAAATGGGTCTTAGTGATATATTAGCAATTTTTCTATTTTAGTGATAAATTAGCAATTTTACATAATGCTAGTGGGGTTTAATCTGATAGTTATGCAATTGGGTCTTGCTTGAATTGGGTTTTCTAATAGAAATGAAGTTCTCTTTGGGCTGAAGCTTGCCAGTCAGCCAGTGGCAATTTCGTATTTTGGTAAAAAGTAATCTGAGCACCATTCTCTCTATAAATATATCTCCTAAGACATTTTTTATGGAAAGAATGAATTAAATGATTTTTTTTTAATTGGTGCAGCTACTCCATGTGTGTTTCTTGTGTATGTGAACTTCTTTTCTTTCCTTTCTCTATTCTTTTTCTTCTATTGCATCATATCCAATAGTGGTTATCTCTCATCCAACTAATTACTACTTAAGTGGAAGCAGTTGTATCCTGGATTCTAAGATCCGCAAATGAGCTGGGTAATGGGTTGGCAAGGGGCTACTACAAGGGACAGATTGTATTGGGGTCAAGTGAAGTAACCTTACTTCTGTTATGTGGGTTATTGTCTTTTTGTACGGGGTTGTTAGCTGAGGCTAAGAAGCCCATTGTGTGTATCTTTAATCCTGTACACCGGGGTTGTATTCTGGGATTGTATTGGGGTGAGTGTATACTGGGGGTTGATGATTTCTCCACATCTAGGTATCCCCTATACTACTAGAAGTATCACAGGTGCTGATCAAACCAGACTGCTGGAAAAGATGCAAAAACTCTGCCCTTTGATTTCAGGAGGAAAATCTCTAAGAACTCTGTTGTAATGCTGCATCTAAAGCTGTTTTGTGTGACTTAACCCAAGAGTACACTTGTCTTTTTAACCATATATCTAGTAACTAAGTGAGCACCACCAGACTATTTTTAGAATCATATCAAACTTTTGGCCTTTTCTCTCTTGTCTTTTCATCTCAGTCAAACTTTATGGTATCAGAGCAGGTTTGGCTGCAGTTTTGAAGCTCATGCATCATTCTTGTTTCCTTTCTTAATCACTCTCATCTTCTGTCATATCTTGGAAGGGGGATCAATTTCCAAGTATGACTTATAGTGAATAAAGGCTAAACTCTATTTTCTATTATTTCTTTGGTCATAGTACCAAAGAATCATTAATTTAGGGTATAAGTACTGATGGAGACAGAAGGGATAGAAGTGGTTCTTCCTCTGTTCGAATGAATTGAACTGAAGAATAACAAAATTGGACCAAAAGGGTTTCTTTTGAACCATTTGTTATTCCCTTCCAATCTTTAAAAGCGGTATCCCTTGTTGGATAGCATGTACTATAATAGTTTGGTGTTTTTTCCTCTACTTGGACCTGCTGCACTGGTGTGAATGTGGAGGCACATATCATGGATTGGAAGGGGTTGCTGTAGATTGAATAATTGAATCATTTCTAGTCTCTATAGACCGTGTTACTTGATGACAGATCTTCGTAGCAGCAGATTGATGTTGAAATCTGTTTTAAGTGTCATACTCTTCTTTTTGATCTGTGTGGATCTGTTAGCAATAGGAGATACAAGGAGGATAGATGGTGGCCTTAATTAATCGTGACTATATGCTTGTTTTTAGTAGCTACAGAAGCAGATCTGTTCTCCACTAGGATTGATCCTTTCTGGTCTGTTGGTCTATGGCAGCTCTTGTTTCACTTGGCTGGTCTGTTGGACTGTCATTTTTTGGGACTTGAAGGGGTTTAATCCTTATTATGGTGGCTGAAGTTCAATTAGCTCCATAGTTTCTGCAGAGCAATCCTTTTTAAGCAATGGAGACAGTATGACGTTCCCAATATCCATTACACCTTTGGATGACTTGGAACTATTTGGAATGGTCCAAAGCAATTAAATTGTTTGTAGGTGGAAGAAGAAAATTAGGCTATCTGATCTTACTGACAGTGTTGTTGAGCATAGAGATGGAGGACCTACATATTAGGGGTGTATATGGGTCAATTCGGTTCAGTTTCACCTATTTTTGTCAACTGAACCGACCATCTCAGGTTGAATTATACCCAACCAAAACCAACTGAAATTGGATGTAACTGAGGGTCAGTTTGATTGTTTGAATGAACCTGAAACAGAATTCATTTTTCATTTTGTAGCCTAGAATATATATAGAAAAAAGTGAAAAATATAACCTTATCTGTTTTTGCATGCAATGAACTATCCCAAAACAACATCTTATTTAATATTTGCAGCCTTTTCAGTCATTACAATGAATGTTGGCAGCCTTTTTTACATGTAACAAGATTTTTTGTCAAGATATAGTAATAAATGGGGCCTGTCTTTGCATAGTTAAGGGCACTTTTTACTGTTTTTAGAGAGATATACTGACACAAGTCAAAAGAGGCTTTTTGTGGGAGAGCGTTTTTATGTATAGAAAATTTTCTTAGGGATCTAAGAATATCCCTAAGAAATTTTGGGATATGTAGATTGTAGAATATATGTCAGTTTGGGTCAGCTCCAGGTCAGTCTACTAAAACATAACCTGTGACCGAACAGAATCTTCGGGTTCTACCATTATTTAAATCAAAACCAACCGAAATTTTTATAAAAGCAAACCATCTTGGGTTGAGCCGGTCCAGTTTGGTCAGCTTGGTCAGTTTATAATATTTTGTGAACAACCCTACTACACATGACAAATGGGAGAAAAAAAATCTACATGTTGATGTCTTGGCTCTTATATACTATGCAGTTCAAATTGAGAAAGAAATTTTATGTGGGCTAGAGCCATCTTTTCTGAACAGAGACACTATGCAAGAGTATATCAACTTCAAGTTGAGCCTTCAACTTGTAGACGGAGAGAAAAGCCTCTGCCTATTTGTCTCCACTTACCTCAATGTGCAAAGAACAAGACCATTATGACTATTGATTGGGGATTTAAAAAGGATCCTAAAGCTTAGAAGATTCTTATCAATCAGCAGAGGGTATTTGCCTTCTTGCTGGCCTAAACCCTATTATGAGCCCATAAAAGCTAAAATAATGGGCAGTAAGGAATTTCCTAGTGTACAGGTATACTCTATTGTTCAATCAGATGAGAGCCTAAACCCTATTATGAGCCTATAAAAGCTCAATTAATGGGCAGCAAGGAATTTTCTAGTGTACAGGTATACTCTATTGTTCAATCAGATGAGAGTGGGAGGATTGCTATGAATCCTCTTGAGGGAGAGGAGGTAGCTCTTGTGGCAAAAAGTACCAACAGTAGTAAGAAGACAGAAAGGGAAAGAAGAATGAAGACACTGATAAGGATAAACTTTGGTGTACTCATTGCTAGCAACCTTGTCGTGCTAAGGAGACTTGTTGAGATCTTGTTGGTAAACCTAAGAAGTTTCAAAATAAGCCCAGGAAGAGGATTACTTCGGCTAATATGGTCTCTGATGTTCCTTCTCAAGAGAACATTTCAATATCTAATAATACACAGGATCACCCTTTAGGCTCAACAAAAAAGGAAGATTTGCCAAGCATTATGAATCGGTTGGAAATATGGAAGAGTTCTAAACCAAAAGATATCATATAATGATTTACCTGATCAAGATTGGCCAGACTGTTTGGATCCTTGCTGAGAGTCTCATAGAATACTCTAAGATTGTCTCCTGCTGCAGTTTGTCGGAACTTCACCAAATCAACAACATACAAAGCACTGCAGGAAGTACATATGCCATGTGTCAAACCTGGAATTCCTAAAGGACTTTATGATTTAGAAAGAATGTGACTGTTACCTAATATGATATGGTTTTCCTCGTAAATGTTCCTTCCAGAAACCCTGTATAATGGAAAATGGATGAAATTTAAGACATCCATATTGTTTAATAAAAAAAAAACTTTTTCTTTTACTCTTGTTTTTTTCACCAAATATCAATAGAATTCATGTTTTAAGAAGACCAAAAAATGCGATCACTCTTTGGCAGAAAACACACATTAAATCAAGTGAAGGAAAGGCCATTACTTGTCTCCAGAATCGGTACCCATCCATATCTTTATTATTGTCACAGAAAGGTGTATAAGCAAGTGGCCTTCCCTTTATGTCCATGTCATATAATTCCCCCATGTCTGCCCGGACAACTTGATCTGCATCAACAAATATAACCTGCAATATTATGAGAAAAGATGTTAGAAATTCAATGCCCAAATTTCTTCAAGTAGATGAATCGCAAAAGAGAAACAAGAAATATATATTAGATAAAACAGATACCTTTTCCAAGGATATAGGGAAAATAACATCAAGAAACAGGATCTTATATGCCCAGATAATTCTCTGCTTTTCCTTCTGTTTATGAAGCCATGTCGGCCACTTGTATGTGATGAGTTCATACTGAAACTCATATTCTTGTGCCATATGTGGTATAAGATCCTAAATGTCCAAAAAAGATTGAATGATACAGGTTGTTCAGGATAAATCAAACAACAAAATACTACCAAAAAGAGAAACAAAGAAAAAAGAATAAAACAGAAATATAACCTTAAATTGAGGAGAAAGGTAGTTCTTTATAAACCAGAACTTCACTGGCCGTTGTGTATTCCGAAGAACACTTAGAATCATGATTTTCAGGAAACGCTCATACCTATAAACACACATTCAGAAAAATTACTTTATTTTTTACTCTCAGAGAATAAAAGAACTTTGAAAGCATTGAAAAACTTGAATGTGTATAATAAATTTCTATCTATAGCATAAGATAACATGGAAAGATTTATATTTTAACAGATATTCCATGCCACAAACAGTTTAGATGATCTGGGGTTCATACATAAATGGAGAACCATGATGAAAGAGAACTTCGGTGACTTGTCTCTGTTTGCTCCAAAATTTGAAATATTATATCATTTTACTATTATGGTTGTTTAAATATGTTGAATATAGATAAAATATTTGTATTGCAATAGTTGCTTTTTCAGATTTGGTAAACAGCTGTCATCCAACTTTGCTTGATAGGTTGGGAAGGGGGCTCATAATGGCTGTCAATTTAAGAAACAAATAGGTTTTCAGCTAGTATTTTATGTGATCCAATAGTTAAGTGAAACAAAGAACCCCAATCAAATGATCACCATTGAGGAAATATAATCAATTTATCAACAAGAGTCAATTTAAGGAGCCTCTCATGCTTAGAGCAAACATTACATGGTCCAACTTAAGGAAATTTAATCAATTTATCAACAAGAGTCAATTTAAGGAGTCTCTCATGCTTAGAGCAAACATTACATGGTTTCAATTTAATGCCATTCTTCAAAATGGGATAGGTTCCTCCTTTAGGTGGATTTTGAGGAATGTTGGAGGGAACTTTCTTGTACAGCCTTAGACACATTTGTGATCACTGCCCTATCTTGCTGATATAGTGGCAGAAACCGTACCCCTTTTCACTTTGAGAATGTGGTTAGCTCATCATCATTTTCTACTTGTATTAAATCCTGGTGGGAAGAAAAGGTGCAGGCAAGATGGAAGGGCTTTAAATTTTGCAAGAAGTTGCATATAATCAGGGGGAATCAAAATTAGGAAACAAGTGTTAAGATCAGTAGAGAAGACAAAGAAATTACTTTATCCCAGATTAAGAACATTGGCAACATGGAGGAACTCAATTGCAGTCACAGATAGGAGATACAAGTTAAACAATGTTGTTTTTTTTTTGCACCATTGTTAAATTTTACATTCACTTTTCTGCACTTTTGAAGCTACTCACTCGCCGAAGTTCCAAGAACCCCCTATTTTCAGTCACAGGGGCTCCACCCTTCATTCCTCTCTTTCTTTTCCGTCAAGCTATTTTCTCCCTCTCATTTTGTGAAAACAGAGGCTTTTCCCCCTTTTATCTGTAGTTATTGACACAAAAGCAGGGCTCCGGCCTACTATTTTCCCCCTCTTTTCTTTATGCAAAGCAAGGTCTCTTTCCCATTTTTTCCATTGTTTCTGACAGAAAACAGGGGCTTTGCCCCACTATTTCCCCCTCTTTTTCCTTGATGTAAAACAGGGGCTCCTCCCCATTTTTTCTCATCATTTTTGACACAACAGGGGCTACACCCTATTATTTTCCTCCTATTTTTTTATGCAAAACAGGGGCTCTGCCCCATATTTTTTTCCCTTTCATTTAGCGTCTATTTGCACATGAAAACAGGGGCTTTTCTCTATTCTTTCTCCTTTCATTTTCCCTTGTATTTGTATTCCTTTTTCATGCAAACAGAACACCTCGTGTATTTAGACTTGAAAACTTAATTTCTGTACATGAATCATGATATTTTAGTTTAGACTTGAAAACAGGGCTCACTATTGTACTGATGTGTGTAGATTGAAAATTGGATTATTTTGTTCTTGAATTTGTGTAGACTCTATGCAACCTAGTGTCTCTTATTTCAATATTTTTTATAATGCATTTTGGTTTTGACAATTTCAAGCGATAGAAACTAGAGAACATTATGGTTTTTTTCTTTAAAAGTCTTGGGAGATAAGGATAACCAAAGCCATATGGTCCTTAATTATACCAAAGGGTCTATTGAATTGTGACCATTGTTATGGTACAAAAGTAGTAAAATTGTCACTAATATAACCTACTTATATGGTATCTATGTCCTGAAAGTTGGTGCGAAATCATTTTCTCCTACTTTTTTAGATGTTTAGATATTTTTATAGGTTTTTACAACTTTTAGAAAAATTAGAAAAAATCTTATGATTCACAATACAATTTGATTCAAACCCCTTTACGATTTACAATACGATTACGATTCTCAAAACATTGGCTTGTAGTCATCCATGGGAACAACTATAACGTCCATAGTGCCTTGCCAACAATTGATCTTCAAGATCACTCCTTGAGCCACTCCTTCAAGTTCTAGCACCTTGGAGTTGACTGCGTTGATCCCAATCCCCTGGTGATGCTCAAGCCTAGCTGCTTTGCCTCCTCTACCAAAAGAAAGTTTTTTGTGGCTTCTGTATCGGTCGTGGCATGGCTCTCCTTTCCATTCATGATTAGGTCCACATACATCATCTTCACCTTGGACTTCTCCTTAGCTAGCTTGTCTAGCTTTTGCACATGGCCAAGTAGTAGTAGTGACACTATTGTGGCCTCTTGCCCATCCTATTGTTTTGCTTAGGCCTCGTGACATTGAAAACTTGTTTGTTGGGCCAATTCCTGACCAAGTGGTTTCCATCACATAGGAAACACTTCAGTAGTTTCTTTTCTCTATACTTGTTCTTATCTTTCCATCCGTCATTCGTCCTATGCTTGTGGCCTAATGACTATGGTTTGGTGGGGGTCCTTGTTTGATATATCCATCACTCATCCTCAGACAATGGTGTCTCAGCTCCTTCTGTGCCCATGGTTGTAGACCGCCTAGGAAGAACAAGAATTCCTTGTTTGATATATCTGACACTTATGGCATGAGAATTGAGAACTTGACTCTTTATCTCCCTCTTGAACTCTACCAATGAATTGATGGTGCAGGTGCCATTGTCCATATCCATGCACTACCTACACCACCAAAGCATAGCTATGTTGGCTAGGTATAAGGAAGCAGTGTGTATCTTGGCCTTCTCATGTTCTATGCCTGATGCCTCAAAGTATTGCTCTAACTACAACAAGAAATGTTCAACTCTCTTGGGGTTAGGCACTCTTACCTTGGCCATTGTTTCCCTATGGGGGATTGGCAACTCATTGGCCATGGCCCTTTTACATGGGGGTGCTCAGCCTTCATCTCTTCCATCTATGCATGGTGCTCCATTTAGCCAACTTGCATTTCTTCCACTTTGGCTTCCATGCTCTTGAGGCTCTTTTGCAGGCTTGTGACTCAGCCTTTCAAGTCCTTAGTGAACCTCAATAGCATCTGTCAGGCCTCATCTTGCTGCTTGCTCATGTCATTCATAAAGCCCAACAAAGCTTCTCCCATGCTGGACCTGGACACCATGCCCCTTGGACTCATTGATGGCCTACTCAACTTTGGCTAGGTGCTCTTCCTAGCCAAAGGCTATGTCCAAGGATGGCTCCTTGCCTTGGAGTTGGCCTTGCTCCACCCTTGGGAAGTCCAGCAACTCTCCAGCCATTTGCCTTGCTTGTAGGGGCTTTGATACCACTTGATATATGCTTAAACTCCTTGCTAATGATTCATCTCACTGACTCCAAACAGGATGGTACTGCTATGGAATTCAATGTGAAACTCATGATGAAAATATTCTACGAAATTCTACTTTGCACTGTAGACTGGTTGGGAGTCTTATTCATCTTGCCATGACTCACCAAGACAGCCCATGGTATTCAAATGGTTAGTCAGTTTGTATCTGCTCCCAGAACTCTTCATCTCATTACGGTTCACAAGATTATCTGGTAACACCACAGTTCTCTTGATCGTAGGATTTTCTTCACGCATACTCTAATGCTAATTGCGTATGATGTCCAAATACATGTCGATTTACCACCGCGTATACTGTGTCCAAATTCTCTATTGAAGCAGTGTACTGTGTTCAAATTCTCATGGAAATGTAAGAAGCAGTGTACTGTGTTCAAATTCTCTATTGAAGCTAAAGTGCTAAACATAAAGCTATGTCTACTGCCTATGGTGAAACTGTTAGTTGAGGGGCCTTCTTAAGGAGCTTCATTTTCCCCTTACTACTTGTTCTCTGTTATATGCAGATAATATGAGTGCCATTTGCATCGCTTCCAACCCAGTTTTTCATGAAGGCACCAAACTCAGTGAGGTTGATTTTCATTTCATTTGTGATCAGTTTATAGCTGGGACAATCACCTGTTCACATGTTTCATCTAAACTACATTTGTGTGTATTTATTCTATTTTGTGTTTGGTGGGTCTCATTGTAATTTGGAAACAACCTCTGTATGTGCAGCAGTAAGGCTGTGTGCATCTGTCCCTCCCCAGACCCAGAATTGGTGGGAACCTTGTGCATTGGGCTGCCCTTTGGGTCTCATTGTAATATCATAGGTTGTATCTACGCTATCTTGATATTGGCCCACTAATGAGGGGCATTTATGTAATTCTATTTGATACACCTTCCCAAGATCTTCTTTGTTGCCTACATGAAACCCTACAAGAGAAAAAGCAAAGTATCTTTTATCTCCCTCAAATCCATGATGAACATGAACTTATGCATCTCCATTTCCATCATGTCTACTTTTTCCTCTATCAAAGATTGAGCTCCAATACCAATTTGATAGGAACTGCCTATCACAGAGGTCACATCGAAAGCACCCTTCCTCCTACAAGAAAGAGAGGAGTAGAAGCAGAAGAGAACAAGAGAAGCAACTTCAGGAATAGCCGACTGCCACCTTCAATAGCTCTTCCGTTATTTATATAGTGTTTACATATGGTTCATGAATTACATGCTCAAGAGAATAACTCTTGTGATGTGCCTTTCTTAAATAGACATATTTGATAGGTGCGCCTGGGCTTCGGTTCAATTTAGTTACTCCCTGACTTGTGTTTGCTGTTGGTTCTTGGCTGATGATGGACCGTCTTGCTGGTCCTAGTCTGGGGTTTATCATAGTTCTTAAGTGATTAGAAGTTGATTTGAGTCAGTTTCCTAATCCAAATTGCAGCCTGTAAAAAAAGGACATTTGATTCATTAAAGGGTTGATTTGTAAAATTAATGTTTTTTCCTTTCCCCCTTTCTCTCACCTATTTCTTCTTCTAACTAATCCATCTCATTGTTACTTACCAGAATAATTAGAGTCCTTCCCTTTCTTTCTGATTTCTTACTCATTTTTTGGTGCACATCAAGCTGTTTACTTGCTTTTCTTCCCTTATTCTTCAGCATAGATCACCTAATGCCACTCTTTCACCCCGTACAAAGGCCACCAACAGTTCTAAAATTATTAGGACCCCTACCCCATCCTACATAATTTACAAGGGTAAGAAACAGAACTGTACTGTAGAAAACAATTGGGAACACAGTTGGAGTGGGTTTGGCAAGTTAATATCACTTTGCCACAGGCTATACAATCTCATATAAAGTAGGGAGACATATTCTTCACAATTCAAGTATCTTGATATACATTCTATATTTTCAGAAACCTCAAATATGCAATTGCAAGAAGTGATCCTTTTGGAGAAAATGAAGTTAAATTCAGTCAAACGTTTTTACATTACTCATAAATACCGACAAAAAAACATGGGATCAACCGACTCCAGTGTAATTTGGAAGAAACAGGTTACTTTCCTGATTTAGAGGCATTCATGTGGTTGGTCTTCCTGGACCTTGAGAAAATGCTTAGCATAGACCATCTTAATAATTGGTGGTGCAACTCAACAAGTGTTATGCGGAAAATTATGAACGAATAGCTAAACTATTTCTATTCATTTTGTCTTAACTATACTTTGTTAGTTAGTTATTTCAGGTCTCTTGGTTGTGACAATCCTTGTGATAATTGAGTCCAATGCATATTTTAACTGATAGCTATTTGGTGGATTAGGATATTAGTGGTGAGCAGTTTTAGTACATCCTAATATACATACTTATATTTGGATCAGTGTTTTAAAAAGTGCTGGAGGCAATAAGCCTGGAGGTGCACCTGCAGATGAGACATAAACCTCATATGCTCTTACATTTAAGCCCATTTTTACAATAAAATTGTTATAGAATAAAAGTGAGGGAACCCTTCATGATGAAAACCCTCCAAATTTGCTTATTATAATATTATAATTTAAATTTTACTACAAAAAATTTAAGAAATTTTTTAATTACTCATCAAATATAAGAATAACAGTAGAAACAACAATATATCAGATGACAAGATAAATCCAATGCATCCATTAGACAGGTCACTATTTGGACCAACAATTTTTAAGTGCTCCTAGGAGAGAGGGAGAGAGAGAGAGAGAGAGAGAGAGAGAGCACTTACAAGTGACCAGAAGCAATTGAAAATATATTAATAGTTTTTCCATGTCTTCCACCACTTTTGTGTTCCTAGGAGAAAATGACACGGCATGTTAGCCGGTTTATTTATCCAAACAAGTTGAACTTATATTTCCACGTGGTCAAAGAGATACAACATGCAAATACCATCCGGAAGACAAATGTCTGATATAACATCCAAATAAAGAAGGAATACCAACAGTTGCATAAATTCACAATAGAAATTGTCATATGCAAATGATGTTCCTAAAAAATAAGGATTGAAGTGGGTAAAAACTGTAAATGTGTCTACTTTTTATATATTGTAGACAGAAGATAGGTGATTTTGATTGAGGAAAAAGAAGAGGTAAGAAAAGAAAAATAACCTTGAGGAAACATGGAATGGGAATCAAGAGCGCCCCATTCATACTATTGTACTCTAAACAACACTCATATAAATATAAAACAAGCCCAGCTTGTTGAGTAAAAGAACCAAGTGAGGTTGAACAATAATATCTGCAGCCTTGTTATTACAATGCAAATTCAAAGAATCTTGGATGGGGGGATCCAAGTTCTTGAAGAAAAGATTTCAGCCAAAAATGTTATAGACCCAGTGATTTAAAAGGCGCACCTGCGAGGCGCATTTTGGGGTATGTGCCTCGCCCAGGTCCTAGGAGCACCCCTTCAAAAGGCGCACACCTGATGCGCCTTGCGCCTCAGCCTAGGTGTGTGCCTTTTTAAAATTTTGTTGTTACAGGATGGGGACGAATTTTCAATCAGGACTAATCCCAACTCGTCAATAGTATAGAACTCAATCTCCTCATCACCAACACCCAACAGGACTCTTCTTTCATCAAAGGGGTGGAAACACCATCTCAAACTCCCATTTTTATTTGGAATTTTTCTACTATACTCTCCCAATTTTTCACCTCAACTGGGGCCATAACAATGTCTCGTTTCCCAATCTTGCCTACACATTCGAGCAACAACTTTAAAGGAACTGTTGACTATAATGTTCAGTTCTTCCCCCTGTTGTGATTCAATCTCAGTCCCCCCTTGTGTTCATTTTCCTCATTGGACTCCACATAGGCCTCCTCTTGTTTGCTCAATGTTTGTTCAGTGGCTTCAACAGTTTGAACTAGAAGAAAGTAGAAGAAGTCTAATATGGGACAGGAAGTCTAATTAGAACTGCCCCCAATTAATCAGTCAAACTTGGTAGCCTAAACCCTACCATTCGACCATAATATGGATTAGAGGTTTAATTAAGTACAATGACTAAACTGCCCCCACTTAAGTATGGGACAGGAAGTCTAATTAGAACTGTCACATGAGCACATAACTTAAACTGAATGAAAAGACTAATCTACCCCTCATTCGGCTAACTCTAACACTCCCCCTCAAGCTGGAGAATATATGYCATATAATCCCAGCTTGTTACATATATAGTTCACTCTCCCTGAGTTTAAACCTTTTGTAAACAAATCTGCCCAATGATCACCTGAGGCCACATGTTCCATGCTTATCTCTCAAGTAAGAACTTTCTCCATCACAAAGTGGCAATCAATCTCTATGTGCTTTGTTCTGTCATGAAAAACAGGATTAGATGAGATGTGAATTGCAGCTTGATTATCACAGTAAAATCTCATGGGTCTGTCCATTGAGAATGCAATTTCTTGTAGGAGGTTTCTCAGCCATATTAATTCACATGTAGTGTGTGCCATGGCTCTGTATTCGGCATCAGCACTACTTGCCACAATGGTTTGCTTCTTACTCTTCCATTCACATGTAGGCAAAGGGTTTGGATGCCAAACAAGCTATACCTGAGTGAGCAAAGGTGGCTGTAGTATGTTGTGAAGTAGCCTAAAGGAACCTCTCATACTCATCGCGCGATACACTCATCATCTCCTTCCCGAAAACAAATGTAGATGTGGAAGGTGTGAGATTTGGTTGTTGGCTGTAGAGTGGGCCATGGTACACTCATCATATCCTTTTCCTTTAGCACGGCCTCCCCCTAAATCATGACCACCACCACGGCCAAACATGGAACCACCACGACCTCCTTGGGATCCATGTCCTCCCCCTCTAGTACCACGTCCACCTCCTCTGGCTGCCACAAATCCTGATCTGTCAGACGGTGTGGTACTCTCTGTAGAACCCAAAGAGATCCTACGAAGCCTTGCAAATACTTCCTCAAGTGTAGGAAGAGTAGAGCCACCCAATAATTGGGTTCTAACTAGTTTGTACTCTGATTTCAGCCCCACACAGAACCTAGTGGCATCCAATTCCTCCCTCTGTTGTTGTTGAACCTTAACATCCGGAGTTAGGGGATGATAGACATTTAGTTCATTTCTGAGGTTTTTCATACTGGCATAGTACTCTTCTAGGATTTTATTCCCTTGCTACAGATCAAAATACTCCTAATAGAGCTGATATACCCTCGTAGTATTATCCTGCCCAAAATAAAGCTTCTTGGCATGTTCCCATATGTCCTTAGTTGTATCTAAGAACATAAAGTTGGCACTTATTTTGGTTCCATACTATTCCATAACCATGTCATGATTTGGGCATCTTCCTATTCCCAGTCATCAAACCCTAAAGAGTCAGTTGATGGTTTATCTTCCTTCACATGCTTCACTTTTCTCTTTGCCTTGAGAAAAACTTCCACTAATTTGGCCCACGGCACATAATTCTCACCATTAAGTTTAATTGAAGTCATCTGCACACTCAGATAGTCAGAGGGAATCACCACACTAGGTTTCTAATCACTACAACCATCTCTAGTTACTGCCATGATGCCCTCCCAATGCTACTTCTGATGCTGAATCCCTAGCAGTCTCCAAACACAGATAATAGGTTCACAACCAGTCACAATCAATCACCACTATGTAAACTACCATTCAGATTAAAGAACAAAAGGTAAACCAGCATTCAGACAGAAACAACAAGGCAGAAAATTGATGTAGACAATTCGGCCATTCCTTCCAGCACAAAAACACAAGCTTTTGTTCTTGTTCACACCACTACTGATTACATAGAACCATAAATCACACTGACAGTAACTCAGCAACTCACTAACCACATACAAGCCCTCTTGAAGCTGCTCAATAGAGGGTGAGCATCACAAGCACCACCACATGACCATAGCTGTCACACATGATACAGGTCTATCTGACCTTTTCAAAGGCAATACAATTCCCAAACCATCAACTACTACCACTGCAGTACTCTGTCAGTCAATTCAGGTCACTCGTGACCAAAAGGAGAGGAAGGCTTCCATAATTTTTTCAGGATTTTCCTCTTCTCTCTGGTTCACTTTCAGCTTGGAGATGAAGTTTTTCCTGCTCCTACCTGAGGCATAAGTGTGAAAAAATCTGGAGTTATTGTCTCCTTTCAGCCATTTCACTCTTGATCTTTGTCTCCAGTAAATTTCTTCTCTTCTAATTAGTTGTTCCAATTCCTTTTTCAAATCTGCTCTTCTACTTCTGTTAAGAGCATCAAGGGTCCCGTTGTGTTCTCTGCTACCCAGCTCCTCGATCTCTGTAAGAACTCTTTTCTTCTCTTCTTCAACAGTTTTGAATACCACCCTCCCCCAAACTTTCAGGTTTCTTTTTAGAGTTATTAATTTCTGAAGGAGCCTAAAGCCAGCCCAACCCTCAACTTTGCAATCTTCCCACATAACTATTGGGTCTAGCTTCAACATATTGTCTTTTACTTCTCTACATAACTAGGTTTTCTCCCATTAATGTACAATAACCAAATATTGCAAGACACCCACAACAACCCCAAGTATAGGACAGCCAACAGTGGAATSAACAAGAGAAAAAGGAAAGTTGTCCTTTTCATTACTTGGAAGAAGTTGTTCTACAGTGATAGCACACTTCGCATGCCTTACATTGAAGGCTAGAGGGGATACATATCTACCAACTTGGGAAACAAGATTCCTATATACTGAATATTTAAATAGCTTGATTGGAGTGCCATAAATAGATCCGGACTTTACTAGAAGAAGGACTATGGCCACAATTATTAAAACTTGCAAAACCAGCAACTGAAAAACAATTGATAGGGAGGGACCAAGCAAGCCACATCTTCCACTACTGGGTGCAATGAATGATAAGATCTTGGGTTGATTGACCAGCATGGGAACAATTCCTGTAACCCTGTTACTCTCAAGACCCCAGATAACTGGGATTAACATTGGATAGCGGCATTTTTTACTTTGAATCAAAAGTTAGATTCAAGTGGAATTCCAGTCAGAAAAAAATCATTAAGGTACAGCATTTCAAATGAAAATTACAATGTGAGACACAGAACATTCTTTTGAAAATTTAAATGATACATACTCCACAGAGACTTCATAAATTTAGAACATCATCAAGTGATACATTTAGGTGGTTTTAGGGTCATCAGTTGGTTGGTAAAGAGTGAGTTTCAGAAATAAAGTACTTACAACGAAGGCTCCTTTCCCCTTCTTCTGTGTTTCACTACTACCAAATAAATCAGATGCCCATTTCAATAAATTAGTGTTCCAGCTGTTGGGACTTTCCTATAAAAGGGTTTAGCAGAATAAGTGATACAAAATATGTCTTATATGTATGGATTCATCCTATAAACCCCAAGTGTGCATTAACAAGTTAAAAGTATCCTTGGATTGCTAAAGGAAGCACTGACCTTTCTTTCCTGCAAATGGCTACTTTCAGCAGAAGAGTCCAACAATTGCTCATGTTCCTTTCCCATTTTCTTCACTACTTCCAAATGGACTAGTTTACCCCGTAAATCATTTATAGTAATTTGTTTCAACAAAGATGAATGCTGACTTCTATCTCCATTTTCTTTAAGAATGTAGAGATCAGAACTTCTTCCTGGAGCAAGCTGCAGGTACCACACTCCAGGAGAGACTTTCATTTGCCAGTAACCCAAATTAGCCATCACAATGGTATCCACCAAGTGTGGCCTATTCTTAGTTCCAAGAATCAACTGAAGGCCACGAGGAGGATCATGATCCTTTTCAGAACAATGACCTGATAATGATGGTTTGTCAACAAGAATAAACAAATCAACAATACCATCCCATGAAGATGAAAAAAGAAGAAATAACGGTACATAATGGTTTAATTTTATGATAAAAATAATACCAGTGAGAATAAGTGCCTCAAGTTCATAAACAGCTTGCAATGTCCTTGTCTCTCCCAGATWTTCAAGCAAAATATTATCCAGGTCATGACTGAAAACAAAACCAAATTAAGGAATAAATAGTAAAATGTTCCGTGAAGAATGTAGAGAAACAGGTTCGTATATCTTCATCAGAATATGTGTGAGCATATACAAGTTCTTATTTAAAGGTAGAAACATACACAGCAATAATAGGTTCAACAAGCCATGGCTCAGGGACATCAAGATTCATGGTGAGGGTTTTGGAAAGTGGCATATTTGCAAAGAATGCCTTGGGACCATTTACTGATTTATCAACACCACTGAAATCATCCTGAAATTTGACAATCCTAACCAAAATAAGAGGCAAATATCTTAAAATTGTATATCCAAACCCATACAACAATGAGAACTAAAGAAGTAACAGTAATACCATCGTAGGAACTACATATCGGTAGTAATTTTTCAGAGGAAGGTCAACAAGTGAACTCTGCAAGAAAAGACCAAATAAAATTAGTTCTCTTTAGATGTAAAAAAGAATATTTTAAGCGGCAGAAAAAAATATTGAATGAAACTGGTCAAACAAAATATTAAAATATTTTCTAATGTTCAAAACCCAAAACAATATGAGGTTATTGTTGAATGGAAACTTATGAGCCTCTTATCTCTTAGAAATTCATAACCCAATGACAAGGATGCAGGTCAAGCTTGCTTCTTTATTTTCTCCTCTTTCATTCAAGAGCAGTGTTAACTTGGTATCACAGCACACCCTCATCGTGGACTGCTCTGTGACAATATGACAACCTGCTAATATCAATCTGCTGGAGGCTAATGTCAGTAGTCTGTATGGTTGGTCTGACAAGTTATTATGGCAGATTGAAGATTCTGATAGAGGAGGATTTTAGACACATTTTGCTGTCCATCTCATAATGATCTGAGAAGTGTAGAGTATTTCTTAATTTTATTTCAGTAAAAATGTAAAAATTTAGATTTGGAGTGGGGTTTTGGAGAGGGATGGAGAAGTTGGACGTATGCATGAGAATCTTTGGTTTCCTTCTTGGTCCTCTTAAATGGGGTTTCCTCTGAATTTTTTAAAGCTCAGAGGGGTTTAAGACAAGGTAACCCAATTTCTCCTCTTCTCTTAGTGATGGAAGTGTTGAAACTCACTTCTATCGAGAAGAGTTCAGTTGGGTTTATTTGAAGGTTTATCAGTTTGGTCAAATGAGCCGCGTTGATGCATCAGTGGAACAAGTCCTGAATCTGAGAGATGTGTTAACCAATTTTGAGTTGTTAACTGGTTTGAAGGTGAATTTGTCTAAGAGTATGTTGATTGGAGTAGGTGGGATGAGAAGGGAGGTGTTGACAGATTGTGACAATGCCTTTGAATGCATGATTGGTGAACTTCCTTTTTATTATTTGGGTTTGCTGGTGGGGGCAAAGTCCTCTTCATCTATTATCTGAAAACCAGTTATTGAGAAGACGGAAAAAAAAAAAAAAGATTGGATGGGTGGAAAGCAAGATATCTGTCATTGGGAGGAAGAACCACTCTCATTAGAAAGCAACCTATTATTTGTCTCTACCGAATGTCCCAGCTGAAATTGCCAAGAGGGTGGAAAAACATCAAAAATGGAGGAGAGGACCCCAGGAAATTCCATTTGGTCAAATAGGATAAAATTTGCAGACCAAAAGAGGGAGTGGTTTGGGGATTAGAAGAGTGAGATTTTTTAATAAAGCTCTACTCGAGATCGGGCTGTGGAGGTTTGGGTTGCAGAAGGAGAGTCACTCATTGTGGAGGAGGGTAGCGGTGAGGAAATATGGGGTGGTTCAGTTTGGATGGAAATCAAGGAAGGATAGAATTTATTATTGGGTTGTGTGCAGAAAGGATAAGGTTCTGGGAAGATGATTGGAGTGGGGTGGGCAAGTTGATGGAGGTGTTTCCAAGGCTGTACAGACTCATTGAACATGAGATCACCATTAGTCAATGTTTTAAGAGACATGGAGATCAGCAGCCCTGGTGTCCAAGGTTCAGGAGACTTTTATTTGATGGAGAGGTGGAAGAATGTATTAATTTGTTGCAAAAATCTGGAGGGGACAAAGGTTTCAGACCACTTGAGAGATACGCTATGGTGGAAGGAATGCTCTAGTGGTAAATATACAATTAAATCTTGCCACTTAGCCTTGTCCAGGAACCATTTGGAGTTTGATCAGGTTGTGGGCATTTGGGGCAATCTGGTGCCCCCAAAAGTGGAAGCTCTAGCTTGGCTCATTGCTATGGACAGTGTGCTAACTACAGTTCACCTTACAAGCAGAGGGCTCAGCCTTGCTAGAATGAGCTACTTATGCAGAGAGAAACAGGAATCCATGAGTCACTTGTTCTTTCTGTGCAGGGTGAATACCTTCATCTGGAAGCTTTTCTCTGCCTTGTTTGGGGTGAGATATATACAACCTGGCTCCCCTACACAGATTTTCTCTATGTGGCTGAAGATAAGAGGTTGTAAGAATGCTAAGCTGCTTTGGACTTGTATTCCTTTTGCGGTCTGCTAGTACATCTGGAAGGAAAGGAACAGGAGGTGCTTGGAAGACAAATGATGGAGCTTAAGAGGATTACTGGCAGCTATAGGCAAAGCTTCTTCTGATTGGGGTGCTGGTGCACCCAGAATTTGCTCAGATCAAAAAGGAAGATTTAGGGGAAAGGTTTTGGGAGGTGCTAGAATTACAAAACTGTGACTTTGTCAGCTTTTTCTGTTGATATATTGTTATATGGAAAGCTTTTTTTTTTCTAGTGTATGTGTGGGTGTTGCCTTGACACCCTATTTGGTTGTACCTGTTTTTGTTTTGTCCAATGAAATTTTTCTATTTTTTTATCAAAAAAAGTTCGGCTGGAAGATTCATTGGTGTTGATTCGGAGGCTGAGAAGATTGAAGCTTTGGTTTCTTTCGAGTGGGGGAAGCAAAGAATTTTGTCCATAAGAAAGCTGAATAGGGGTCTGTTTTTGTTCATGTTCCATAGCATAGGAGCATAATGGACTTTGAGTCAGAAAAAACAGAACAGGGAGAGTGATGTGAGGTTAAGTTGGTGTTTTCCAACGGAAGGGGAGATTCATGATTGTGGGAGAAGAAGAGCCATGTGGTTGGAGGTGGTGGGTATTCCCCTTCATGTCTAGTGTCTCCTTACTATCAAAGAGGTTTGGAAGCATTGAGACACATTCCTTTATTAATATGATAAGAATAGGATGCGTGTGGGATTTGGATGTCACAAGAATCTTGGTGGAGGTGGATGGCATTGCTTCTGTTCCAAGTTCAATGGAGCTTCTTTTTGCAGGGGAAAGTTACAAGTTAAGAATTTTTGTTAAAGGGGAATATCTTACTTTTCTTAGGGCGAGAACAAAATTAAGGTATTCAAAGGCATCAATTCAGCAAACTAGGATGGTCATTCAAGGTTGCAGGTTTAGGGGGTAAAGATGTAATTTTGGTGGTGAAGGAAAGCATGGAAAAGGTGGTCCTAATGAGGGTTCAGCCGTTCAGGTTATGAGAATCATCAAGATAAGTTCAAAAGGCTCTCTCAGTGCCTATGGGTTAATAAAGGAAAGGGTTTCATCAAAAAAAAGTTTAATGGTTTGAGAAGGGGCATTTTGAATCATGAATGCGAGATGTGGAGTTGCCAAGGGAGACAAAGGAGAAAAGGTAGACTGGCTGTGGGCTTCAGGCTCAGCATTAAACTGTCTGAGGCACAGAATTTAGGCCAGGACCATTCAAATTTTAGCAAAAGCCTAGCCATAGCCCGGACCATGAACAACTCTGGGTGTAGGTGGTGGTTAGGAGATATGAGATTGCAAGGCAAGGCTCCTCTAGGCAGAGGAGCATATTGGAGTTAGATTTAGTGTGTCTGATATGGTGGTTCAGAGGCAGGAGTCAAGTTCTCCTAGCCATCTCAAGTTTTTTTCCTGTGATCAGTCCTCTTCGAATTGTGGTGGTGTTGTCGGAGGGAAGGCAGATGGTGGCACAAGTGGTGCGGAAGTCAGGTTTGGGACAAATATGAGTTCAGCTATGGTGGTTGCTGCAGCATTGGAGCAGAATGATTTTGCTGGGCTTGGTCACAAAGTGGTGTCCAGTCCTGAGGGAAGTTCTATTTTGGTATTTTATAATTCAGGGTTAGGGGCTCCCTATAGGGAAACTGTGGGTAAAGCCAATGTTGAGAAGTTTTCTGAAGTGATTGTGGAAAGGATTCACGTCGACATTGGTAGGAGGATGGAGGTTGAGGAAAATGTTATTGGTAAAGGCGTTGTTCATGGTAACAAATCAAGAAGCACAAGTAGAACACATCTTGTTAATGTAACAAAGGTTTTCCTGCATCTTAAAGGTCTGGCTGACATGGGTCCTAATAATAAATTCAAAACGAATTTACAGAAGAAAGGGTTTAAAAGAAGTAGATAAGACTTAGTTGGTTTCTGGGGAAGAGTGTTCAGATGATTAGCAGCTGTTAAGATGCACATTTATTAATGAGATGGTTACGAATGTTCAAGCAAATGTAGTGGCGAAGACAGAATTGGTTAGGGGCAATTTGATTGACAAGGAAGGTGGAGAAGGCACAAGGAAGAAGGAAGGCTTAGCTATTGCAATGTCTTAGTCTGACAAAATCGATTTGGTGGTGAAAAGAGCAAGGCCCCGTTTGGCGCGTCTTTTCATGCATGCTGTCATCTTTTTAGAAACCCAGCAGCCCGCGTTTTGGTCTTTTCCTGTTTGGTTGGGAAAAGATCTAGCTGCCAAAAGCCGCAGCCCCAAAAAGACGAGGGAAGCCCATTTTGGGCTATTTTCAGGAAGCTCCAAATGGAGTTTTTCGCCTTTTTTCAATGCATCCTCGCGCGGGAAGACACGCCTTAACTAAACGGTCTTCAAGCAGCTAAGATCTTAATGCAAAAGCTCACATCATCTTCTGGCTGTCAGGTCTGCTGAAAGATCTTCTAAAAAAGACTTGCCAAATGGCACCTAAATTTGGAAAACGAGAATGCTAGGGAGGTTCAAGCTGGCAAGATGTTGGGTTAGTTCTTCTTAGGTGTGGAGTTCGCTAGGAGAGCTTTCATGGCGTGGGGAAATATTTAAAGAGAAATATCGGATAGCAACAGTTGATGACTACAGCTTTTATGATGAAGCATTGGAGAATGTAGAGTGAAGTGTTAAGTCGGGCTGTAGGTTGGTGGGGGAGTTTGTTTTTCCAACTACGAAGGGGTTCAAGGGTGTTGTTCTTGTTTTTGTTGGTTTTGAGAAGAGCTTTTGTTTCTTGAGTTTCTTTTTTTTGGGTGTGATCCAAATCTGCTGTTGATAGGTGTTTCTTTTTCCCGGGTGATGTCTTATCACCTTCCTATTGTATTCTCTTTCTATTTTTAATGAAACTTATATTTTACTATCAAAAAAATATAGTGCTCCTCAGCCAAGTAAGAGTAGGATTCCTAGTTAGGAACAATCAGGAATCAGCTGCTATTTTATGTTATAAATATAGGAGCATTGCTTTTTTTTCAAAGAGAGTGAATAAAATACATAAGTTTGTTTCTTTATGTGGATATGCAATGCTTCAGATGTTTAGGTGTGAGGCCTAAACCATATAGGAGTGCTTCATAGATCTATTTATCCTTAAAGTTCTTTGTTATGCTACATCTCTTTCAAAGTTCCCAACGCATTTGAAACTATCAAGCATAAGTTGACAGAAACTCCATACTATAATTGCCACACTTTTCAAAAGTGTTTGATGTTCCTTGTGATGCTTATAATAGAGAGAAGTTAAATGCAGCAAAGAAGTTTCCTGCCTATGAATATGGCATTAAACAGAATGGACTGGTGAAACGGGATTCATGTAGTGGACCCCATATAGTTGGGATAAGGCTTGGATAATGTTGTGGTTCATGTACTTCAACATTGGAAGCGTTATCTCATTTCTAGGAGTTTGTGCTCTATTCTGATCACACCAAACTTTTAAATAATTGAATTTCAGAAGAAGTTAAACAATTTCCATGGAAAAGGGATTGCATTTCTGCAAGAATATACTTTTGTATTCAAACATCAGGCTGAAGTTGAAAACAAGGATTTTGGCATTACTCAACACCAAGCAATCAATGAGTGTAAAAGTGATTGATTTTGATCAGATGAAGAAAGTTTACTTTCCTTGAAAGGATTTTGGCATTATCCATGCTGAACTCTTAGCTGGATGGCAGAATTCCTATCCTATCTTTTCTATGATGGGTGTCTTTTCCAAGATTCCCTTGTCTTCTTGACACTACTCTTCACGATCAGGTGATTTAGGAATTACATGCTGGTGGAGCAGTATCACATTTTGGATGTAAAAAGACTACAGTAATGACAGCGGACAGGAATTATTGGCCTAGCTTGAAGACTGATGTCATCTAAGTCATACAACAGTGACATATTTGTCAAGTTGCCAAAGGAAGAAAGCACAATATAAGATTATACACACCACTACCAGTTCCACTTCCACATGCACCAGTACCAGTTCTCCAAGATGGCACATTTGACTCCTCATAACAAGACATCAGATGCTGCAAACGTTGTGACTATATTTGTGAAAGAGGCTGTGTGTCTTCATGGACTTCCAATAACTATCGTTTCTGATAAAGATATAATGTTCATAAGCTATTTTAGGAAAACTTTATGGATGATGCTGAATATAGAGCTGAAATATCCTGCTCCCTTCCAGATGCAAACTGATGGACAGACAGAGGAGGTTAATCAGAGTTTGGGAGACCTATTGCGATGCCTTGTTAGAGATCATGTTTCTAGATGGGATCTGATTTTACCAATAGCTGAATTTGCTTATGATGGTTCTGCCAACAGGTCTGCTGGTAAATAGTCCTTTTTAGGTAGCAACAGGTATGCATCCTTGAGGACCCATTGATCTTGTGTGTTTGCCTCCAAAAGCTAGTAGTAGTATTGAAGCAGAAGGGTTTGCTTGCCACATTTGTGAGATTCATGATTATGTTTGAAGAAAGAAGATTCTTACATAGTTTTGTTGACTTTCAAGGAGAAAAGGTAATGGTGTGCATACGACCAGAGAGATTTCCTAGAGGTGCATACGACCTGAGAGATTGCCTGAGAATGGTCCTATTTTCAATGTGGAGGATCTTACAACCTACAACGAGTCTTCAAGTATTCCACCATCTTCATTACCAGATCTATGGTTGCCCTCAATAGCCTTTGCAAACTCAAGTAACCCAAGTGCTTGTCAAGCCTCTGCTCCAATATTACTAGGGATTTTGACATGGGTGTGTCCCATATGACAAGTATTTCGTCTGACTTTACACAGAAGCTACCTTAAAGGGAGGCAGAAACTCAAGTATTTCATCGCATACTCTAATATTTTGTACGGGTGAAGTAAAGCTTGGCAATAATATTTCTCTCAATTGCAACCACAAGCTTGCCCTTCTCACAGTGTTGGTTGTTCCAAGTATTTTCAATCTATAAAGTTAAGGCACAATGATGCAGGAGCTGAAGAGTCAAAATTGGAGATTTATGATACTTTATGTATTTCTGTATTTTTGGACAGTAGGGGTATTTTTGTCAATATGAATTTTCTGTGGGGTCCAATAATAGTTTTGATTGTCTAGTTATAATTTGTTTTACTTAAAATTTCAGTCATTGCATAAGTAGGATTAGAGTTATTGAGTCTTCTTTGAATTGAAATAGGATATGACCAGTGTTTTAAAATGCGGAGGCGTGACGCGAGGTGTTCCACTAGCTAGAGGCGTGAGGCGTAGTTCAGAACGCAAGAGGCGTAAGCCTCCTGAACACAAGGAGCCGTAAGCCTCCTTAAGAGGAGGGTTAGGAGGAGGATGAAGAGGAAGGGGGGATCTCATTTTTTCTTTATTTTTAATAAAAATCTTTTATATTAAGAAGAATAAAGATGCATAACATTAGTTGACAGCTACCCATACCCACATCCACATATGTTGTAGACTTGGGATCAAACTAGCCTTTCAGACAGAACCACAAAATCCAAACACAATCAATACTCCTGTTTTAGTCCCTATGGACATGATACATAATAAAATCATCATCATCCTTCAAGCTCTATCCTAATTATATGTGGTCAGCTACATGAATCCAATTTCACCATTCCATTATGTTTAATGCCATATCCATTGTTAGACTATTACTGCTTAAGTCATTCCCCACTACTTCGATCCATGTCCTTTTTGGTCTTCTATTCATGTGACTACTTTCTCTCATTTTAACCTATTGGAGCCACTCCTAGGTTCCTATCAATGACTACATTTCTCAATTCTGACCCTATCCTTTCTAGTTCTTACACTCATCCATCTCAAAAAAAAAAAAAAACTCAAAAATAGGTTAAGAAGAATTCACAAGATATTGTGCATAATAAAATATTAAAATAAATTTATATCAGAAGAAACTCACCAAGGGATTGAGAACAATCCTCATGCTTGGCTTAATGCACTTCCAAAGTATGTGGAGAAGAGGAGAAAGTTTCTGGCCTAGTGGACTTAATGGATCAACGACAGCATCAATATGAACACTTGAATTCTCATTGTTCAACACAATAGCACTGTAAAATAATACACTAAATATTAGATTTGACAAAAGATAATGTAGCTCCAAGCATGTCTTGGATACTGTTTGGCAAAGAGTAGACTGCATATTTTGACAATAGAATGAATGAAGAGGGTATTTATGCCTTTTAATGTACAAAGGTGTTTAGGTCCAATAGAGTGGAGAATCAAATGCAACCTTTTAATTCTAAATCCCCCCTCCCTCTTTCCTCACCTATATAAGACTTATGATATGACACACCCCAGTCACCCCATAAAAGCAATTTGTTCCAACTTCATAATAAAGTTACAATCTCATTAAAATGTATGCTTTTCAAACATGAAAAGGAGAAAACCTGCTGATCTGTACTCATTCTTAAAACCAGAACTGAATGATGATTTGATAGTTTCACGAGTAAGACCCCATGTTTACTTATAATAATTGAACAATGAGGGTAATTACATCTCTGACCCTAGATAGGTGGCTGATAAATAAAAATAAATAAAAGACTAAAATTAGAATAGGCCCAATAGCCCAATTACTATAAAACTAAAATAGGAAAAAGTAATAAACAACAGCACAATCCAGCCCAATTTAAAATAGCTCACTCTTTTCTACACTCCCCCTCAAGCTCATACAAGGAATCATTAGAATAAGTATAATCACACGTTTAAGCAAGGTTCTAAATATCGATACGCTCGATATGTCGTCGGTATGGGTGTATTGGGCGGTATCGATAGTGTTTTTTTTTTACTTTTTTTTATTTTTTTCAAAACCGGTTCAAAGGGCCGGTTTAAGGCTCCTCCACCACCCTGAATCGGTCAGAACTCCAATACACCCTCTATAGGGGCATATCGGGGTGCTCCCGATACGTGTCGATTTTTTGAACCTTGCATTTAAGGAATCAATAGAATAAGTATAAAGCATGGAGTAGTTAATAAACCTCTTAGTCTTTTGGCCAGATCTTCATTGTGCATGTCATTTACTTGCCATTTTTTACTTTTGTGGTTTTTGTTACTATACGTTCTGATTAGATTGATAATCCTCTTTTGTCTTTAAGTAAAATAGTTAGCCACTCACCCAAGAATCCCTATTTGTCTTTAAGTAAATATTTTTAAAAACTATGATGATTTTAATGAAATATTGGAAAGTTTCTAATAATATTCTAAAATATTAAACCTTCTTTTGATAAATAAGTTCTTTTATTAGATCGAAAAGATTAGCTTATACAAGCAACCCTTGGAGAGATGCGAGCTGCGACCTCTCCCACTAAAGATGAATACAAAAAAAGAAAAAAAACAGTCATGCCCAATACAAAAGTTCCCCAGCTGCCCCTTGTTTGGCTAGACAATCTGCCATGGCATTTGCTGATCTCCCCACCCATTGTATTCTTACACACATATTCCCTGTTAGCATCTTAAACTTGTCAACTTCATTCCTGAAACATCAAACTACTAACTCTGGGTTTTGCAGCCAGCTTATAATTAACTTGGAGTCCCCTTCCACTATTAATTGTTCCACCCCTAGTTGAGTTGCAAACTCTACACCTTCTAGGGCAAGCTAACAATTCCGCACTAGTAGAGTCTCCCACTCCTAAAGGACCATAGAAGAAATTACCACATTTCCAGCCTCATTCCACAAGACCCCTGCCAACCCCAAAGAGCCTAGGTTACCCTGACTACTACCATCAAAATTCAGTTTCAAAGAAGCCTTCAGGAGGAGGTGCCCAGCTCATTCTTACACTAACCTTGGAAGAGGAACAACCTGCCACTGCTGACCAATTCCTCCAAATATCGTTAAAGGATAATTAGTGGAACAAATCTAGAGAGATTTCAGACAACGAATAACCCTATTCAAGACACAATCCTTAACGTATGGTTTCTTTCCTTCTCTTCAAAAATTCTGGCATTCCTTTCTTCCCAAATTGTCCAAATCAATGCAGCTCTTGCACACTAACACATAATTTTACCTCTTTTCTGTTGCCAAGCAATGGTAGAAGGATCAAAAAGCATGCTTATTTCTGCAAACAACATCCAATTGCACCCAACCAAAGAGAGAAGCCAATCCCAAAACTCTACAATAAAAGAGCAGGAAATTAGTAAATGGTAACAGTCCTCACCTTGGGATCTGCAAATGATGCACCAATTAGAAGAAATACAAAGGGAAGGTCTTCTCTTTTGTAGATTATCCAAGGTATTTACTTTCCCATAGTACACTTCTCAACAAAAAGCTATAACCTTAGGGGGAATAGGCCTACACCAAACTTCCTTAAAGGGGAAAACCTGCTGAGAGTGAGACTGGCAAAGGGATTTGAAGAAAGAAGCACAAGAGAAGAACCCTTCCAAATTCTATCGCCTGGTTCAAAGAGGCTTAAACAAACTTTCTCAAGAAGGCTCAACAAGTTGGCTAAACACCAAATTTCCTCATCCCTTGAACTTCTATGGAACCCAAAATCCTAAGTTGGTGCCCAAGGAGTTTCCAATGAGGAGAGAAATTTGGAACAACCTTTTTTTGTACCAAGAAAAGAGAATAGAGAGGGAAGAAGTACCTTCAAGGGGACATCTCCAACCAAAGTATCCTCCCAAAAAAGGATGGAGTTGCCACCACACATACCATACCCGGTATAAGTGAAGAACTGAGGAAGAAGAATACCATGCACTACCTTCCAAGGAGTTGCCAGATTTGCCTGTCGTGATACACCAGCATCCTATCCATCCTTTTAGTAGCCATGAATGCTTTCTATCACCTCATGCCACAATCTTTCTCTCTAGGGGGCACCACCACAGCCGCTTCCCCAATAAAGCTGTATTTTTCTGAATTATATTCTCCAAGCCTAGGCTCCCCTTCCTCTTTACTCCTACACACCACCTCCCACTTAAGTGAGTTTATCCACTTTCCCTAAGTTCCCAAAGAAAGTATCCCATTAATTTTCCAACTTATTAGTTTCCCCAACTGGAATCATAAAGACAAAGAGGAAGTAGGTTGGAAGGTTCACAATTGTAGCCCCTATAAGGTGATTCTAACCCCCAATGAAATGTATTTTTTTTTCACGAGGCCAATCTCTTCTCAAATTTTTCTACAATTAGGCACCAAAACCTACTCTCCCATGGATTGGCCTAAAGAAAGCCCCAAATAGGTCAAAGGCCAAGTAGAGATATAACACTCTAAGCACTCTGCAATAGCCTTCACTTCTCTTAATTCCAAATTGACTCCTGCTATACAACTCTTTTCAAAGTTGAATCTCAAATTAGTAATACTTTCAAAGCTTCTAAGCAACGCCTTCAAACTTCTCACACTCTCAAGATCATCCCCCGCACAAAGAATTAAGATATCATCTGCAAATTGGAGATGGGTAACTGGAATTTCACTTCTACCAATTCTCCACCCTCTAACTACACTTTCCCTATCAACCCTCGACATTAATCTACAAAGCACATCAACTACTAAAGTGAATAGGAAAGGTGAGAGAGGGTCCCCCTGCCTAACACCCCTACTAGCTGGAAAGAAGTCCTTCATCACACCGCTCAACATAAATAAGTAATGATAGGAGCTAACACAACCTAACATCCAATTACACAATCTTTATCCAAAGTCACAGTTTCTTAAAACTTGGAAAAGCAACGACTAGTCTACCATATCATAAGCATTTTCAACATTCAGCTTGCACACAAAGTCTTTTCTACTAGATCTCCTCATATCTTCCACACTTTCATTGGACCAAAATCTGGTCGATTATTTGTCTCCCTTGTACAAAAGCCCCTTGCAGTTGGCTGATTAGGGAGGGAGAAATTCTTTAAGCCTCAAGGGTAAAACCATCACTAAGATTTTATAGATACTCATCACCAAATTAATTGGTCTAAAATCCTTAGGGTGAACAGCATCAGGATTCTTAGGGACAAAGACCAAAAAGGTAGCATTGACTCCCAAGCTCACTATGTGATTATCTACAAATTCCTTAAAGGCATCATACAAATCATATTTCAGAACTTCCCAACAATCTTGATAAAAAGCCATTGTAAATCCATTTGGGCATGGTGCCTTAGATCTATCCATCAGAAATACTACCTTTTTGATTTCATCTTCTTCAAAACTTCTTTCCAACTACATAATTTTTTCATCTCCCAAACTTTCCCAATCCATCACTTCCAAAGGCAATCTTTCATTCAATGGCCTTCTATAGATGGAGTCATTCACAAAGGTTTTGGCTATTTCATCACGATTTGTAATCATCTCCCCATTTGCCTCTAACTTGGCCACAAAGTTTTATCGTCGTCTTCCATTTGCTAGATCATGGAAGAATCCGGTATTCCCATCAACTTCCTTAATCCACTAGTGCTTTGACTTTTGTCTCCACCAAATCTCCTCTCTGAGTGGAACAACCTCCAAATCCTTTTTCAATTGCCTTCTCATTTCCATATCATGTGCATTTATGACCCTTTGGGATTCGCTCTCATCCATTTCCTCAATCCAAGAGATTAAATTCATTTCTTTTCCACAATTCTACCAAATTGGTCCCTATTTAACTCCTTCAATTTCGATCTTAGCCTCTACAACTTCTTATGAAACCTTATCCCCTTCCACTTTACCCCCCTTAATTCTTCATTCCACCATTCCTTCACTTTATCCCCAAATCTAGTGTATTAGCCACATGTTATTAAATCTAAAAAGCCTGGGCCCATTAACAAACGATTTCACACCTATCTTAATGAGGCAATGGTCAAAAGTGACCCTAGGCAAAGCTCTAGAAATCAAGGTTCCCTAACGACATTCCTAGGCTAGGTTGAAGAGAATTTATCCAATTTTGAACACAAGGGGTTTCCTTGGAAATTAGACCATGTGAACCTAGCTTGCATGAGTGGGTTCCGTTAGTTTACAATCTTCTACAAAGCCATTGAACTTCATCATGCATGTTGTAATTGATTGCAAAGGATTACTAGTTTCCCAAATGCCAAGGACCATCCCATAAACCTTGAACCGCAAACAACTCTTCCAAAAATTCATTCGTTTCTTTATAATTGTTAGGGCCATACACATTAGTTAACACCCAAATGAATACATACTTCACATTCTTAAATTTGATAGAAACAAAGAATCTACCTATCAGTTGCTCCACTGATTCCACTACCTCATCCTTCCATACTATGACAATTCCCCCTAACGCTCCCCATGATGGAGACAAGCCCCTTGATCTATAAAAGCTTCTGACCCATCTTCCATCCACTTCAGGCAATTTTGTCCCTTGCAACATAACAATATCAGGATTTTTCCCTCTTTAAAAAATCCTTAACCGCTCTCCCCTTTCTTGCACTCTTCAACCCTCTCACATTCCAACTTATAATTTTCATTGAAACTCTTCAATCAGGGACCCTTCTTAAACCCAACTTTTTTACTTATAGTTCCTTCTCTCTTCCCTCCCACTAAACTCTAACTCACCCTTAATGTCAGAGATTAGTCTCTCCACTTCAGCTTTTGAGTCAAAATCTACAAGGCCACAATTATCACTTTTATATTTGACTGTGATCAGAAAGAGCATACAATTTCTTTTCTAATTTTTCTATCTTTTCCTTTATTTTTTTTGGTTTCCCAATTTTCAATTTATTTTTTATTTCAATAATTTATAAATTAAAAAATATGCATGGAAGGCTTGTGCATCTTGCAGCGCATCATGCTGCATGCCTCAATAGATGAATACTTTGTGTCATACATGCGCATTTTAACACATTTTGTTCAATTACAATGAGAGAAAACCTCATAGAAAACAGAATATATAACAAAATCAAAAACAAACAAAAATGTAACCTTGAAAAAGCTCTAGACAAGAAACAAATATAAAATTTAGACTACAGAACTAGGGTCAGAAATATAGCACAAATAAAAGCTTTACACAAGAAAAAAATAGCAATAGATGAATAAAAATTACCTGTATTTTGCATTTAAAATTTCAAAACGAGCACTATCAGAATTGCGCTCTCGGAGAGACAATGAAGAAGAAACAAGCATGATAATATCACTGATGTACTTGCTGCCAGTAAAATTCAGAAGATTGTCACCAGAAAGAACTCTCTAAGGCAATAATATTAATATATGCTCCCCAAGTTGTCTACCAGTGTCAATAATGAAGTAACAAATTCTACATGACACTTTTTTCGAAGAACTACATGATTTCTGTTTGCAAATGAGTATTCATCTTACACTTCTAGTTTATTATTCTTGCCACATTTCTAATGGAGAAAATAAAAAACGAGAAGCAAAAAAGAATACAAGAGTAAGAGAGAGGCATTTTAATCTGAGGATTGCTCAAATTTGAAATTAAATAGTTATAATAAAGCTTTAGCATCTATAAGACTATAATTACACATTACTTTTCCACTTCAACGACAAATACTACTTACAACTTTGAACTTAATCTTCAACTCTATATACAACACAATATAACCAAAAAAAAAAACTGCAAATCCAGGTAAGAACTCTAAATTGCTCCAATCCAAAGAGAAAAAGATGCATTTCCCTAAGGTTTCAAACAATTTCCAGAAAAAAAAAAATCAAACTTTGAATGTTTTAAATAAGTTAATTAGACTAACCATACCAACATATTGGGAACTCAAAGAATAGCAACTGATAACAATGGGTTCAGAAGCTGAACAATGTCCATAGAAAAACCTTGGTTTCACTGCTAACTTTGGTCCATATGGAAGTGCAATTAATTTGTAGAAGTTGTAGGGACAAAACCATCATCATCATCAAGGGTCAGCTACACGAATTCTGTTTTACCATTCTATTCCATTCAGTGTTGTATCTATTATTAAAGCATGGGCACTTCAGTCACTTCTTATTACTTCTACCGAGGTCTTTTTCGGTCAGTGCATAGCTCCTCTAGCCCCCTAAGCTTGTAACTGATCACGTTTTTGAATAGGTATTGTATATGCTTTTCTATGCACATGATGAAGAAATTTGTCTTAGAAGGTAAAAGTCGAAGCCAGTTGGTTTTGAAGTTCAGGGAAGAAGGAAGAACCACCATTTACCAAATAGGAGAAGCAGTACAATGGCCGAAAGGATTCATCAATGGGGCTTTGTTCACCATTAAGAAAGACTGGTGGAAAAGCACACTGGAAGTTCCAAGAAGGTATCAAGTGATTCTAAAATACAACCAGAAAGGGTTGTTCTTGGAGGCTTCAGGATTTTATGGAAGGAACAAAAAAGAACTTATCTGTCATCTAGGACATAAAGGATGGAGATGGAGTTTGATGGCACAGCAGTTGCAACTTGCAAGACTTACTATCACTTAAAGAAGGTGAACTAGCTAATTGCAGAATCCCCATCGTCAATCAAGGAGAACCCTTCGAGAACTCCTCTTCTGAGAGCCCTAAGTTTGAAGGAGCATCTGAAAACTGTGTGCTTGAGGAAGCCTTCTTCCCAGCCTTTAAAATCAATCTTCTCTTCAAAACCAACTGGCTTCGACTTTTACCTTCTAAGATGGTAAACTTTAGAACAGTGCAACTGAACTTGGGGTGGTTTCTTTAGAAATTGGTTGTTCTCTTGCACCAAGATGAACGTAGAAGTTGGAGCAATTGAGATAAAATTGATTGGCTTACTGTCACTTTGGAGAGAAGAATTGGAGGTTGAAGATGACGCTGACCTGGCAGCTAGGACCACATGTAGCAACAAAGGAATGGGAGAAAAGTGGAAGCGGAACAGTTGAAGGTAGGGGCCCAGCTCGAGGTGAGCCTTGAAAATCAAAATATTTCAAATATTTCTGAAGTTAATCATAAAAAGGCGAGAAGTAAATCGTGCTTTGAAGCTACTAAAAGTGGAGCATAGCTGACCAAGTCCTATCGATTGGAGGCCATCCCATTTAAATATGAAGGTTGGGAGACTTTTAGACCCAACCAATTCTGATCCTGTGGGCATTGCTTTGAGCTAGGGTGTGGGCCCAAGCATGAACTCTTGTGGGCCCTTGAAAGTGGGATCATGTAACTTGTTACAAGGTCACATGGGCCATACTAAGGACAGAAAACCACATCTATAATCATCTTATTCCGACCAATTTGTTCACTCAAAGACTTGCTCTCGTCAAAATGGAGAATTTTGATAGCAGTAAGGTCAATCAGTTTAGGAAGGGTGGACAAGAGAAAGCCTTTAGGCTTTAACAGGTGTGGGATGTTAGGAAGGGGTGTCTCGACCAAGGTTTGAAAGAAAATGGGAGAAAAGTGGGGTTGGGTGATTGCTGAGCATGATAAAAGTGGTCAGCAGAGGATTGTTACAGCATTAGAGATGAATCTTGTTGAACACCAGTCTTCTACTATGGATGGCAATATTGGATTCTGCTCTCAGATTGTTAAGAGATTCTGCGGCGATTTCAGTGTTTTAAAAGCGCAAGGGCCAATTTGAGCCTGAGGCACAAGGCAAGGCGCGCGCCTTTTTAAGAAAGGTGCAAAATTACAAAAAAAAAATAAAAATAAAAAAAAGTCAGGAAATTCAAAATAAATGCCAAAAAGTTTTTAAAAAAATCAAAGAATATTAAACATAATGTTAATAAAAAATATAAACTTAAATTTTAAAATATATGATTTAGAAAACCTATTATCTAAAATTAAAATACATAAACATAACATGTAAATTGTATTCAAATGAAATTTTAAAAATAAAAGCAAACATATAAAGCATTTTCAAGCATGTAAAGCCCACCATCTCTTTTTTTCCTTAATTGCATTGCTTCAAGTAGCTAATGTGATGTAAAACATATTGCATTCTTGATTCTATGAGTCTCCTTTGTATCACGCCCCTTGAGGCAAGCTCGAACAAGTCTATGTTAGGGCCTTTTGTACCCCCTATTTGCTGATGTTGTTCATTCATTCATTGCAATAAAATATCTTCTTATAAGGCAATGAAAGTTGTAAAATCATTATTTTTTATGTGAGAAATAAGAATTTAAGACTCGAACATAGACTTGTTCGGGCTTGCCTCGAGGGGCGTGGTCGGAGGTCTGGGGGAAGAGCCCCCGGCCCAGCCATTAGACTCAAAAAAAAAAGCAAAAAGCGCAAAATTTTAAAAAGGTGCACGCTTGGGCTGAGGCGCAAGGCGCAAGGCGCATCAGACGCACGCCTAGGCGCACCAGGTGCACGCCTTTTGAAAGGGGTGCACCTAGGACCTGGGCGAGGTGCATACCCCAAAATGCGCCTCGCCTGTGCGCTTAGGTGTGCCTATTAAATCTCTGGGTGATTTGCGTCTCCTCTGAGCTTGAGGTTGTTGCTACAGCATCTCAAGAAATGAGGTACGATTCCAGAAAACCAGCTTTATTGATCTCTGAGGAGGTTTTCACTACTGTGGTAGAGAGGTCAGAAGAGGGGGAGGAGGAAGTTGGGGAAGGATGTGCCAATGTGGATACTGAAAACGAGGACAGAGCGAAGACCAAATGAAAGGGGGCTATGTTTGATGGCAGTAGCGTTGGCTGTTAACTTTGACCAAAGGAGCAAGACTAAAGAGGAGTCATTATTGGGGTGATTAATAAGAAAACATGTAGCTCAAGACAGCCTAATGTTGTGCATGTGACAAAAATCTTTTCTAGGTTGAAGCTTGGTAATGTCAGGGGCAGGACCTATGAACTCATTGAATTTTCTCATACTTCTAGTGACCCTTCCCCTACCTCCATTTGTTTCTTCCAAATATTTGATTATGACAAAATCTCCCCCTAGACACCAAGGTCCCTCCCACAGTCCTCTAATATATGCCAACTCCCACAGTCCTCTAATATCTGAGTTTGGCCCATCCACATTTGTCAGAACCCATTCAAACCCATCATGTACATTCCTCAATTTTACAAAAACTGAGAATTTGCCCACCACTTCCTTAATACACTGCATTCTTTCCTCCCTCCAGACTGTAATTATGCCCCACGAGGCTCCCCAAGACAGGGCAAAGTTCACCTTATATTCCTTTCTCCCCAAAAACCTTTAATCCACTTGCTTTCAACCTCCTGAATTTTAGACTCCTAGACCAGCACTATATCAGGCTTTTCTTTCCTCAACACTTCCTTAATTGCTCTTCTCTTTGTGGCACTCCCTAGACCCCTCACATTCCAGCTAATAATTTTCATGGTCACAACTGACAATGTTCCCCAACCCTTGACTACCTACAGTCCTCCCTTCCTACTTCCTCCCTAGCACTGAATTCCTCATCCCCTTCAACAGCATTAATGAGTTTCTCAACTTCATTCAGCTTTCTCCTTCTCTTACCCCCTTCTTATTACCTATCTTAGGTGACGGTGCCATCTCCTTAGCATTATCCTCCTCATTATCCATCTTAAGCCCCTTTATAACGGCCAAGTCAACCACAGAGTCTTCCCCAGCTACATGCCCCTACTCATCCAATTAGGTTAAAATTTCAAAACAATGAACTTTCCTTTTCCTTTATCTAAACCACTTGTATGCCTCTCAAGATCATCTTGTGACTTTAACATCTCTGATTCAAGGTTCTCACCCTCTGCAAGTTTTTCCCTCCTCTCCCCCTTCAAAGAAAACAAGGATGGGAGCTGGTAAGTCTGCAGAGGCAAAAGAAGAGAAATTAGTACCCAAATTTAAACCACTAGTGTTGCAGAGCTTACAAGGAGAATGTGGTGGAACTAGCACAACTGGTAAGAAAACTTCTACTTTGTTTCCCTGTTCTTTCATGTTTCTCTTTCGGGTGATATCTTATTACCTCTCTGTTGTATTTCTTTTCCTTCTTAAAGAAAAAGTGTTTCCACATATCCATCTTAGCATATACATTTATGCCACACTCATCTTTTGGAAAAGTGTATAAGAGCAGCTCTCCTTTGGACTATTTGGGAAGAGAGAAATTCAAGAATTTTTCAGGAGAAGGAAAGAACCATTCTTGAGGTCAAAGAGTGTATTCTTACAAAGACTATTTTGTGGCTGAAATCCTTAAAGCTCTTTGAAAAATACTCCTTTGATGATTTAATGAGGAATTGGTCTACAGTTGCCCTCACTTCCTCTAGGAAGCCTAGAGTTCAAGTAACTTGGACTCTGCTGATGGAGGGTTTTGTTAAGCTGAACTTTGACAGGAGTAGTCAAGGTAACCCAGGACCGTCTGGGATTGGTGGTGTACTGAGAAATGAGAACCAAGGTTTAAAATGTCAATGTCAGTGGAAATGTCGGCCATCAAAACATAAGAAACATGTTGAAATGTCGGAAATATCATATGGAAGTAATGTAAAAATTATAGGCATGGTAGAAACATTGTAAATATGCAAAATATAGAATGATATTTTATGAAATGATAAAAGAAACATAGGCAACCTTTTTAAATTATCATCTTGTTTCAAATTATTAAGAAAATCTAAGAAATTAAGGTTATAGACAAAAGAATACGTTCTGAAGTTGCACTGTAAACCTTAGATTCAGAGCTTCATGATAAAATTAGTTAAAGCAAAATTTAAACTCATAGAAAATATAAATGGTTGTAATAGATCAACCAATAATCTACTACAGAAACAAAAACTATTATTTAACTTCATGTTTGAAATGGATATTGAGCTAGCCCAAAGTTGTAACCATGTAAGTTARGTGGACAATAACTTGTTACATCACATATCTACAATATTGTCACCAACTTATGTTATAATACTATCTCGTGTACTCCAGAAAGTACTGGTAGTGTTCACAAAGGAAAATATCGGTTCTAGTAAATTTTCATGTTGTTGCCCATGGAAATGGAAATGGAAATATGTCAGGGATACTATCTCTTGTACTCCACGTAGGTCTGGTAGTGTTCATTGGGGAAATGTCGATTCTGGCAAAATTTCGTGTTGCTACCCATGGAAATGGAAATATGTCATGGAAATATTAGGGAAATTAGGGACATTTTAAACCATGTTGAGAACAGCAACATCATTGCCCTTTTCTCGGGACCGGTGGGAATAGGAGACTCTATGAGGGCTGAACTCCTAGCTGTGGCACGGGATACAGATTGCTTATCAACTTGGAATGCAGAACTTAATAATTGAAGGAGATTCCAAGGTGGTAGTAGGATGGTTGGCTGACCGAGGTACTGTAAATTGGGACTTTAAGGATATTTTAAAAAAGGTTAAATGGCTATTGAGGGACATGACAGTTAGATTTCAGTGGATGGGTAGATCGGCTAATGCCTTGGCTGAATATCTTGCTAAACAAGGGGCTACTCGGGTCTTCTTGTATTGGGCTTCTCTGTAATTTTCTTTGTCTTTTGTTATGTTTATTAACTAAAGGGTTGATAGTATCCTCCACCTCCCCTCCTTAAAGGGGAGGTAGCATCTCGTGCCTCTCCCTAGAATGCACTATTTTTGGCTATGAATTAATAAATCATACAATTCACTGATAAAAAAAAAAAACACTCTGCTGCATATAGAATAGCTGGCCTCATAACTGTTTTAAAGAATTTTCCTTTTAATATAAGTGGTATCCACCTATCATATAAAACTCTGGATGCAACCCTCATTTGACCATCTTTCTCTAAGTATATGGGCGGCATCTACTCAATGTCTCCCTCATTATGCATTATCGAACCCATTTATCGAGTAAAAGGTCACATTGAGTCATTTGTTGGTCTACAATCCCAAGTGACCCTGATTAGCACTCCTATTATTATTAAATTGCATGCATGTCCTGTTTTAGTCCTACTTACTATAAAACTTCGTTTCTAAGGTATTCATCAATAAACTTAATTTTGCATTTAATCCTTCATTAGTCTCATCTATTCAATTCCAAGACTACCATAATTTGCAGGTCATTCTAGTATCCTAGGCACAAGAACTATGAAGCAATTAATAATGTGTTGGAAGGGAAACAAATTCAACAAACCTTGTTACAAGATCAGAGTCTATATCATGCCATTCCATTTCTTCAATAATACCCATTATGTGCTTTATCCTTTGCTCAAATTCCATGGATTCTAGAAGACCTAGATCATGGCACAGAAAAGTGCTCCTACCAAGAAGAGTTACCTGCCATTTGTGATAAAAATTAAAAGGGAAATTAAAAAAAAAGGCACAAAAAGGTAATGTGAAGACTGTTCCTGCTTTTCTTAGCCATTTGTTAAAGATAACAACCACCATGTAATCTCTTCATAGACTAGAAAAGTTAAAACAATCAAGAAAATATTCTGCATTAAGATAAAATCTTAAAAGAATTATGGATTTCCTAAAAAGTTTAATATTACTTCCACGAAATAAAAAAGTTAATTATGTATACCTACCCTTCCATTAGTAATGACTGCAGTAGCACCAAATTCAAGCCCCAGTTGCCCATATAGGAAATGGGAGACCTGCATAAAGCTAGTAATTAGTTTTCCATTATTTTTCCAGAGCCAAGAAATATATAAAAACAAACCAACAGGAATATATGATGAAACCAATCAAAGCATTTACATCAACAGTCACATAAAAAAATTTGGAAACTTTTCAAGAATAAAAGTTGGGTGGTGGTTAACTGAAGAGAAACTACGTGACAAATTTTGAAAATAACCTCAGGCTTCTAGTCAATACTTGTTATATCCCAATCCTTACTTGAGGATTGGAATAACCCAAAGTTTGGGTTCTCTTGTGGTTAAATTTCCTTTTACTTGGGCATTCTAATTGGGGCATGACAACCTGCTGTTTCCACAAGGCAACCGGTGTTGGATAGAATTGAACAAAAACTGAGTGGTTGGAAAGGGAGGTATTTATCTCTTGGAAGTAGATTTACACAAAGAAGGATGGAGACTAGGGCATTGAAGGGGTAAGGTTATTTAATAAAGCATTGTTAAAGAAGTAGGGTTAGAGGTTTGGGGCAGAGAGACAGGATCCATGAAGGAGGGTGGTGGCATGTATGGGATGGTTAACTTTGGGTGGGATCCCTGGGAGGATTCATCATCGTGTGGGGAGGGTGTGTTGAAAGAGATCATGAAGTTTCACTCCTAAATGATAGGATGCACATGTTGGAGAGTGGGAGAAGGAAATAATATAATATTCTGGGAAGAAGATTGGATGGGTGCTGAGAAGTTGTGAACTTTGTCAAAAATTATATAATTTGAGTGAGAAAAATAAAATTAGTTTCTTGATGTTTTGAGGTCCCACAGGGTGCGGTGGTGTGGTGTCCTAAATTTCGAAGACCATTGCTGGATTGGGAGATTGGGAAGTGTGTATTGCTGTTACCCAAGTCACAAGAGGTGGAGATCAATCAAGAAAGGCATGATGCATGGTGGTGGAAGGGATGCAAAAGCGGCAGATTTTCAGTGAAGTCATTTTATAATGTTTATGCAAGGAATCAGATAGAAAGACATAAGATGAAAGCTATTCGGGGTAACTTTATTCCACCAAGGGTGCAAGTATTTAATGGGTTGATGGCTTTGGATAATATCCTTACTCAAAATCAACTAAAACTCAAGGGTTTTAAAATGGCTAATGGATGCGTGATGTGTGAATCAAAGGACAAAGATGTGCTTCACTTATTCCTTGAGTGTAGATTCAATAGATTCATTTGGGGTTTCTTCTAGTTCTACCAGCTTGTCTATAAGAATGTTTAGGAATCAAAGATTCCTTATGAGATCTTCCCAAAGTTGCCTCTTCTTCATGGAAGTGAGAAGGCTAAAATACTTTGGACCTGAATCCCTCTCATGGTTGTTTGGGAGATCTAAAAAGAAAGGAATAGAAGGATCTTTGAAGGAAAAGTAAGAAACAAAAAGAAGCTGTGCTCGAGAATAAGTTCTAAGCTGCTGGACTGGGTCTTAATTCTACCAGAATTTAAATAAGAATCATTTGGAGCAGGTGTTTGGGCTTTGTCAGAGTTGGAAAATTTTGAAGGAAGGACTGTTTGTATTTTGTTATAATTCATGTATTTTTCTTTTTTTTTTTATCAGCAAAGGTAAATTCTATTAAGCATTTTATAAAACTTAAGGTTACAATTCTGTGGGTAAGACACCCACTTCCTCGGTAACAAACAAATATAACTAAACCTACAGTCCCTGAACCTAGCCTTACAATTTAGCCCAAAAAAATTGCTGCCTAATTACCACTGTTTACCTAAAACATAGGCCATGCCATTTGCATTTCTTCTCACCCATTTAGAAGTAACAGTTAATTCTCTTGTTAAACTTTCAATTTCCCTGATCCTGTGCTTGTAAACCCAAGGAGTTTGGCTTTGAAATTTTGTCCAGGAGGGTGTCCCCTTCCACTTCCTAGCATCTGAAAACCAAACTGTTTGGCAAATTTTAGAAGGAAATCACCGGGCTTTGAAATTTTGTCCAGCAATGGATCTCCTTGCTCTACAGGACCTAAATAAAGTGCTAGTATCCAACCTTCTGTATCTCAAAATATACCTCCTCAACCAGCCCTTCACATCCCAAGAAGCTTCCATCAAAGTTTAGTTTCACACTTCCCTAAGCCAGCCCTTCTTTGACTGTCTTAGGAAATTTGGATCAAAGAGACACACCACATCCTAGAGAGGAGTCCATCTGCAACAAAAAAGAGAACAAAAATGCTCCCAAACACAAAGCACAAAAGCACAGTGGATAAACAAATGAGAAATACTTACACCACTAGCTTTCAAAGGCAACAAATGTGAGGCGAAAGACATTTGTTTGGCCTTCTTTTCTGCAGCAAGTCGCAGCTATTTATCTTCCAAAGAAAGACCTCCCAACAGAGGGCCTGAAATTTTAGTGGAATCAGCTTCTTCCAAATTTCTTTGACTGGAAGGTTTAAACCCAAGGTGGTAGGCTGAATTAGGATATAGAAAAAAGACGCATTAGAGACTCACATGTAAACTCCCTAAGGCCCCTTTTGAATCCAAAGCTCCAATTCAGCCCAGAATTGTTGAAGAACACAAATTTGGAAATGGGTTCAGACTTATAGTTTGACAAAGCAAAATTTGGAAATGGGTCTTTAGAGGTTGCTCTCCCAGCCAGAGGTCTTCCCAAAACAAAACCTTGTTCCCGTTTCCCACATCAAAGCAGATATGGTTGAAGAATAAAGGATAAACCCAGAGAATTGCTTTCCAAGGAGATGCTAATGATGCATTAGGTGCTATTTTGCATCCCAACCATTGTCCAATCGCCCATGCATACTTCCAATTACCCTATGCCAAAGACATCTTGTTCTAAGGGAAATCACCAAAGCCATTTCCCTAGGGTAGGTGTATTTTTTGAAACTAAGTTCCCTATCCCAAGCTCCCCTTCGTCCTTTAGTTTACACACCAGCTCCCGTTTCACGAAGATCTTTCTTTTCCTCTCCTGGCTCCCATAGGTAGTCCCTCATCATCTTCTCCAACTTTCCAGCTATTTTGACTGGAATTTTAAAGTGGACAAGTAATAAACAGCAAGGTTATCCAAAGTAGCTTTAAAAAAAGTTATTCTCCCCCCATGGAGATATGATTTATCTTCCACAAAGCTAACTTCCAAGGAACTCTCTCCACAACTGGTTTCCAAAAACCTTCAGATCTTGGGCCCCCTCCCAAGGGCTGACCTAAATAATCAAAGGGCCAACTCCTGACTTCACAATCTAAGAGACCTGTTATTGTAAGGATTTCCTCCTCTTGTAAGTCTAAGCCCACAACAAAGCTTTTTCCTAGGTTAACTTTCAAATTTGACACTTTTTCAAAAGAACTAAGGAGTTCTTTATGGTACCCTATGGAAAAGGGGTTGACATCATCACAGAAGATAATTAAATTATCTCCAAACTGCAAATGGGTACCTACAATCTCATTTCTTCTCACCCTCCAACCCCTAATCAATTGTTTAAGTCAACCTTGATGATTGTTTTGCTAAGCAACTCTGTGACTAGAGTGAAAAGGACAGGGGATAAGAGCTCCCCTTATCTAACGCCTCTTCTTGCTGGGAATAAATCTCTAGCCATTCCATTAATCAGGATGGAGTAATGTACCTAACTCAGGCATCTCTTGATCCACATTCTCCATCTTTCCCCCAAACCAACCTTCTCCATAACCTCAAGTAAGAGTGACAAATCCACAGAATCATAGGCTTTCTCTAGATCAACTTTACAAATGAAACCTACCCCCCTGGCATTCCTTTTTTTTTCTATGCACTTGTTTGCCACTAGGATTTGGTCAACTATTTCTCACCCTTCCACAAAGGCTCCATGAAATAGTGAGATCACTAAGAGTAAGGTCTCTTCCAATCTGCTTACCAACACTTTAGCAAAGATGTACACGCTTCCCACCAAACTAATAGGTTCGTAGTATCTTGGTGTTGTGGCCTCTTTCTTCTTGGGTACTAGGGCTATAAAAGTAGCATTTGTTCCTGGTGAAACCTCCCCTTTTTGATGGAACTCCTTAACAAACCAGAGTTCCCTTCGCCTGCGGCGAAAACCATTGGGCAAGATTTCCTCGAGGAGTCTTCAACAGGGGCTTTTCCATCAATCAATGGAGACAATGATAGACCCCTAACTCCAACTCAAACAAAACTTAAGTGGGGCACATCCCCACTTAAGTTGTCATGTGACTTTGAAGGGCTCACTTCTAAAGTATTGCCCTGTCCTAGTTCACCTCCTGAAACAAAGCACTCAAACCAACACACTTTACCAATCACTCCTAAAACTCCCCCACTTTCCTTTCCCAATACAAACAACGATGCTTCCACAACCTCTGCAAAAGACTTAAAGTGGACCCTGTGTTTGCCAATCAAAGATCCTCCTTGCTCCACAAATTTAGTAAGTTGCAGACTACTTTCTTCTCGAATAAACGGTTGGCCTTCTTTGGATAGAGAGCATTTGCCTTCACCACCTAACGCCAAAGCACCACGTTTTCTTCTTGGAGCCACATAATCACCTTCTTCCTCTGCTTCATCCCAAAGTTCTGCCTTCATTGCCAAAAGGGCCCAAACTTTGTACATTGTACCTTCTACCTGATCTTCCACCATTCGAGGGATATTCGATGGTCCAACCCCCAACAGCTTGAGGGAAGCTGCTCGAGGATTACCCACCATTCGAAGGATATTCGGAAAGTCAAGGTTACCCAAAGATAGAAAAGGAAGTCCCACAAGATTCACAAGAGGATTATCCCCCAAATCAACTGAGTTCGATCCAAAGTTCCAACACTAGACATTAGTGCAACATCCCTTCATTTTAATATGTGCATCACACGGAAGTCGTCCAATGGGATCAAAAGCTCCAAAATTGTCTTGCAATTTCAAAGGGGGGGGTTAAAGAAACAGTGCTCTCAATTGAGTTCAATCAAAGGTTCCAACACTAGACATTAATGCAACCTTACTTCATTTTGTATGTGCATCACACGGATGTCGTCCAATGGGATCAAAAGCTCCAAAATTGTCTTGCGATTTCAAAAGCAAGTTAAAGAAACAATGCTCTCAACGTTAAAACATTTTCTTAATGTTATCTGCAACTTCTTCCCAATTTAAAATTATTTTAGTTGCCGTCACAATCAGTTTTTTGGCCCAAATTTCCTTCACCACACTCGTTCTTAGCTTAGCTTAGTTAGTACAGGAAGAAATTTGTACGTTTTCTCCCTTTTTCGTATCCTGTGTACCGTTGTTGCCCACCTTTATTTCCTCTCCCTTTGGTTTTTCTTTACATTGTTCCTTTAAATCCAGCACTGTACCATTAGTAACCAAATTTTCCTTTGCGGAAAGATCTGTAAAACTTCCAAAATCTTGTTCCACCCTAATCTCTATTTTCCCATTGGAAAGCAAATCATCTATCATTTTCCATTTCCAAACCACTCAGTCAGAGCAATAAACCATCCTTTTTCCTGTTGTTCCATGTTTCCACATCAAAGAACTCCCCATAACTCCTCAGACTCCTTCACCATTCTTCTACTCTAAATGACTTGCAAGCTCCTACCATAAAGCTTATGTATTTTTTTAGATCCTCTTCTGTCAGAAACACTGTAGCCTTCTTCCCTTCTCGCAGCTTCAATCCTCCGAACATCTAGTTTTTATTTCTTCAGCAATGAACTCCTTCACTTCTATCTTCACATGCTTCCTCCATTTTCTAGCCAGCTCAAAAGTTCTTTCCATTTGCTCCACCATGCTGCCACATTCCCTTCGCTCACACAAAGCTTATGTATTTTTTTCTCTTTTGATGATTGCTTATCACTAATCTAGATGTAATTTCACTTTCTCTATAAATAAATTTTCTTTATTACTTACTACCAGAAAAAAAATGTTATGACACATCTAAAAGGACAAAAAAATTTATCAAGGAATTAGAGGTAATCAACAGATACCTCATCCAAAGCCAACAAAACATGTGTATACCTTATCGAGATGTTTTACCAACATCTCCATGGAAAAATCTGAAAGAGCAGCCTTATAACCTTCAGAAGGCAATCCACTTTCTATGGCCAAATCACAAACTCTATTAATAAAAGCCATAGTATCCGTAGCATCTGTCAAGGAGGCATGAGTAAACTCCTGCTCATAGAATGAGCACAGTTTGTCCAAAAATTTCAACACACTTTCTTTATCACTGCATCAAATCATCAAAACAACAATCAATCAGATCACTGACATAGAAATATCCATTGCATGTGGTATCTATAGTTAAGAACCATCTAGGAAGATAGAAATTCAAAGATGGAAGCTAAGAGGTACATAACTAACCCAAGGGATGATGCAGTGAACTGAAAAGCCTTCAGAAAATAGAAACTAAGAGAGTGAGGATTGCCTTTAGCAGTAAACAGAAAGCCTACTCGGCCTCTTTTTGATCCCCCCATCTGCAAAATAATACAAATATTTTAAGTTCAAAAAATAGAAAGCACTGTGCACATAAACTATAGAACACAAATGGCCAAAGTTATTTCAAAGTGAAAATTCAAATATTAACCAAATAACGAATCCCCTCATGAAGCAACTTTATCCCCTCTCTCGATGTCAAATTGACAGCAAGAAGATGAGTTACAGGCTTCAGGTCATCTGCAGCTGGATAAGAAATTAAATCACAGAAACAATCTGTCAACCAGTGACTCAATAAGAGTAAACAACTAGAATGTCTCAAGTACACTTACTTCCAGCAGAATGCAAGTAGTTGATATCATTTAGCAAGAGCTCACTTCCCAGAGTTGACGCAGACAGTGAAATAAACCTTTTTTGCCCCTTCCCTTGACCAATAATCTATATTACATATATATTTGAAAGATTAAGCTATTGGAGTAAATGACTACTTCTGATTATTGTAAAACAAACCCTACAAAGAAAAAGTCATAAAACATGCCTAAGCTGGTTTTTCACAGGGCTTACCTGTGGATTATAACGATGATAGCCACTTTCAGAAAGAAATTTGTCAAGGACATCCGTATGTGAGTTGATATGTCCAAAGTAAACTTGTTCCTGAATCCTCGGAAGCTCATCATTGATAGCATTTATTAGAGCATCCTGAACAAAAACGGAAATTATATTATATATTGAAGTAACCCAGTTACTAAGTTATCATCCCATAACATGTTCATTTTTTATCAGTAACAACCAAGAATTTTATTAAGGAAAATACCATGTTAACATCCACTAACATTGGCAAAACATAATTCTAAAGTATTACTTAAAACAGTAACTTTCATTATGATAATGTCAATCAAGCTTTGCAACAAGACTAAATACAATGAGAGTGATTAAAATTTAGAAAAAAAAAAAGGCCCACCATCACTGGTGAAAAAGAAAATAAAGTCCTAACAGAAATCTGTAGAGTGAGACCCAAAAGTAAAATCACAGCTAAAAAGTAAAAACCAATGTATGAAGCAAAGAACCATATAGGGATCTTGTGGAATTTTATGAAATTTATACTTATGGCAACAAGAATATTTTTGTCGTTTTCCCAATGTTCTGCAGGATCCAGCCTAGTGACTTATTAGGCTGTAGTTGAGTTATAACTGAATTTTCGTAGTCATAGAATATGCAGAGAGGAAGCTGTTTAGTTTTCTATGGACTGAAGTTTACTGGTTATGTTATGTATAGTGGTAATAATATCATTTCTGAAGATGGAGAAAGGTAAGTTCAGGCAGGTATCCATGTGAAGAAGACCTTTGAAGATCGAGGCAAAGCTAAGGTTCAAAGCATGGATACACCCGTATACGGCATATCATATCACATCGGTGGTTGAAGAGACATGGTTTTTTAAGTGTTAATTACCCTTAACCCCCCCCCCCCCGTGAAAATATCAGAGCCAAAAGTCAAAAATAAAAATAAAATAGTGTTTTATAGTATCGAAACACCCGATACGCATGTCCATGCATGTCAGGTGTATCGATACTTTGAACCATGGGCGTTGCATTTCCTCTTTGAAACCTTCAGGGTGAAAGGGAAGACAGCTTTGAAGATTAGAGAGATGAAAATGGCCATGGTATTCCTGGTAGGGAGAGATGTACTAACCCGGTTTACGGCTTTCGTTGAGGAAGCAATCCAACCAAGTTGCAAGATGGAGTTTAAGGAATCAACAGAGGAAGGTGGTAGGAAAGGAATGCCAAAGGTCAGGAAAAAAAATTACAAAATTACAAAGCTACAAAAAGGTCAGAAAATTCAAAAAATATTAAAAAATTACAAAATTACAGAAGGAGATGGAGTTGCAAGATGGAGTTTAAGGAATCAACATGCAAAATTACAAAAAAAAGGTAAAAAAATCAAAAACAAGGTCAGAAAATTCAAAAAATTTTAAAAAAAAATGCAAAAAATTCAGAAATATTATACATAATAAAAAATATAAACTTAAATTTTAAAATAAATGTTTTAAAAAACCTATTATCTGAAATTAAAATCCATAAACATAACATGTAAAGCATATTCAAATGAAAATTTAAAAATAAAAGCAAACATATAAAGCATTTTCAAGCATGTAAAACCCACAATCTCTTTTGTTCCTTAATTGCATTACTTCAAGTAGTTAATGTGATGTAAAACATATTGCATTCTTGATTCTATGAGTTGCCTTTGTACCATGCCCCTCGAGGCAAGCTCGAACAAGTCTATGCTAGGGTCTGAAATTCTTATTTCTCATATAAAAATAATGATTTTATAACTTTCATTGCCTTTTAAGAAAATATTTTATTGCAATGATTGAATGAACAAATTAGCAAATAGGGGGTTGTTCGGGCTTGCCTTAAGGAGCATGGTCAGGGGTCTGAGGGGGGAGCCCTCGGCCCAGCTGTTAGACTCAAAAAAAAACAAAGCAAAAAGCGCAAAATTTTCAAAAGGCGCATGCCTGGGCCGAGGCACAAGGCACATTAGGCACACCAGTCATGTGCCTTTTGAAAGGGGTGCGCCCAGGACCTGTGCAAGGCACATACCGCAAAATGCGCCTCACCTGTGCACCTAGGCGTGCCTGAGGCACGCCTTTTAAATCACTAGATAGGACAAGAGGTCAAGGTTGATGCTGCATGTTTTCGAATGGAGTCTGATACTATTACTGCTTTCCGGTGGAGTCCCCTGTCTAACTCCAAAAATCTTAGGGGCCGTTTGGCAAGTCTTCTTGGGAACATCTTCYTGTAGCTCTGACAGTCAAAAGACGCATTGAGCTTTTACATTAAGATCTGAGTAGTCTGAAGCCCGTTTGGCTAAGGCGTGTCTTTTCGCGCGAAAAGACGAATAGAAAAAAAAAAAAACGCAAAAGCTCCATTTGGAGCTTTCTGAAAATCGCCCGTTTTAGGCTTTTTGCGTCTTTCTGAGACGTTGGCTTCTGGCGGCTAGATCTATAATGAACCAAATGGGAAAAGACCGAATCGCAATCTATTGGGCTTGTAAATAGCCAACAAACCATGCGAAAAGACGCGTCGAACAGGGCCTAAATGTGGAAGTCAGAGTTGTTGTTCTATTGTTTCATCTTTGGAAACCAAAGGCTTTTTGTCCCATTGCTTCTCTATTGCAAGGCTCGTTTGGATGGTTTCCATGAAGTTTCGTCAGGTAAATGATGGGTTTGAATGGGTATTAAAAAATGTTTATGGTCCAAACAGTTATAGAGAAAGGAATGAATTGTGGGAGGAGTTGTGTGATATTAGAGGTTTGTGGGATGGACCTTGGTGCTTAGGGGGTGATTTTAATGTGATCAAATTTGGTAAAGAGTCCAATAACTTAAGACAGACTAGCAGCATCAGTATGAGGAAGTTCAATCAATTTATCAATGATGGTCAGCTTAAGGAGTAGCCTTTGTCATACCACAAGTTCACTTAGTCCAATCTTCAAACTTATCCATTATGTTCTAAATTGGATAGATTCTTATTTACCTTGGCCTAGGAAGAATATTGGGAAAGTTTGGTTTTGAGAGCTTTACCTAGGGTGACTTCAAACCATAGGCCTATTACCATTACCAAGGAAGAGTTTAGAAGTTTTGGCCCTACTCTGTTCAATTTTGAGAACATGTTGCTTTGTCATAGTGGCATTTGGAGAAAGTTATGGAATGGTGGGAAGGAAGTCACCCAAGAGTTAGATGGAAGGGCATGTTATTCCACAAGAAGTTGAAGGATCTGAGAACAAAAATAAAAGAATGGAATATCCATCATTTTGGGAGACTGGAAGAAAGAAAACAGGAATTAATTAGCCAAATTGAGGAGTTGGATCTTAAAGAAGAGAATGGGACCTTTGGAGTGAAAGATAAAGATTTAAGGTGGACCCTTAGGAAGAAGTTGGAGGATGTTTTGTTTAAGGAGGAGATCAGTTACAGACAAAAATCTAGGCATAAGTGGATTAAGGAAGGAGACAACAATACTAAATTTTTCATGCCTTGGCAAATGATCAGAAAAGAAAGAATTTCATTTTTAAATTGGAGGTGAATGGAGCCACCATTACCCAACAAATTGAGATTGAAAAGGCTTTTGTGGATCACTTTAAATCTGCCTTTAGAAGGCCTTCAAGGGAGAGGGTGCGGTTGGATGGGTTAGAGTGGCTGAGTCTCTCAGAAGATATTAAGACGTGGGTGGAGAGGAGTTTTGATTTGGAAGAGATCAGAGAAGCAATTTTTGCTATGGATAGATCTAAACCTCCTAGGCTGGATGGTTTCACAATGGCTTTTTATCAAGACTGTTGGGAGATCCTAAAAAATGATATCCAAGAAGTATTAAATGAATTTTTCAAGAGGAGTGTGATTAATCCAGGCTTAAACTCCACCTTCATTGCCCTAATTCCAAAGAAGGATGATGTTGTTCACCCTAAGGCCTTCAGACCCATTAGCTTGGTGAATAGCCTATATAAAATTATTGCAAAAGTGCTTTCTTGTAGAATAACGCATGTTCTTCCTTCCATTGTTTCCCCAAATCAAGGGGCATTTGTGAAAGACAGACAAATCATTGATCAGATTCTTATAGCCATGAAAGTGTAGAAGAAATGAAAAAGGTGGGAAAACAAGGCTTCGTTTGTAAATTGAATCTTGAGAAGGCCTATGATCTGGTAGATTGGGACTGCCTCTTAGAGGTCTTGAGGAGTTTTGGGTTTGGAGACAAATGGAGTAAATGGATTAAGCAGTGCTTAAGGATTTGTCACTATTCTGTTTTAGTGAATGGGAGAGTTGTTGATCACTTCCAGGCTCTCAGAGGAATTAGACAAGGGGACCATCTTTCTCCATTCCTTTTCACCATGATTGTTGATGTTCTAGGGCGGATTCCGAAAATTTAGTGAAGGGTTGGAGAGTGGGCAGAGAGTGTGTGCCAATCACCCATTTACAGTTTGTTGGTGATACTATCTTGTTCTAAGAAGGGGGTGACTAGAGGTGGACACAAAATCTGAAGTTGGTGGTTCAATTATTTTAGAGCTTGTCAAACTTGAAGGTGAACCTTGAGAAAAGTTGCATTGCAGGGATTAACAGGGATCAGAGGGAGAAATCTGATATTGCTGAAATCTTAGGTTGTGGGGTGGCTGAGTGGCCTTTGATTTATTTGGAGCTTCCATTGGGTGATAATCCAAGATGTGCTAGCTTCTGGAACCCTGTGTTAGAGAGATTCACTAAAAGGTTGGCATCTTGGAAGAAAAGACATTTGTCCTTGGGGGCAAGAATTACACTAATTAGGTCTACACTAGCTAATTTTCCTGGGTGCTATCTTTCAGTGTTCAAAATCCCTGAAGGTGTGAGTGGAAAATTGGAAAAATTAATGAGAGGCTTTTTGTGGGAGCTAGGTGAGGAGAAGATCATAGGGTTAGGTGGGAGGTGGTGAGTAGAAGCAAAATAATAGGAGGTCTTGGTGTTGGAAACATTCAAAAAAGGAACACTACTCTTCTAGGGAAATGGTTATGGAGACTGCCAACTAAAAAGAACAAATTATGGGCAAAGGTGATTATTAGCATTCATGGGCTTGCAGCTAATGGATGGGATGTTGGACTATGGAACAGGGCAACGAGAGCTTCTCCATGGAAATCAATCTATGATATCCTTCCAGTCTTCCTTCCCTTTGTCAAATACA